CCACCCAGCACCCTAGCTCTCAGGGGGTCTTCTTCAAGTCATTCACCCCATCCCCCGCGTGGCTCCTCAGAGGTCCTTGTCGTGAGCACCTCAGAGAGCACAAGGCTCCAGCGGTCCTGGAATCCCAGGGGCTTGGTCCGAGCAGCTTATTGGAGAACCTAGAGCTATCTTCTAACGGCCACCCCAGCTCTCGCAGGCGTGTTCATGAGGCTCTGTGCTGGGGGGCTGCTCGGCTTCCGGAGGTGGCACACCCAGTGAATATGAGCACTCAGTGGCGGGCATAGAGGTGAGAGCCCAGGCCATTMGGAAGGCATAGCCTTGTCTCCCCTTCCTTCCTCTTTCTTTCCTTCCCTAGTCTTGCCTTGCTTTGGCAGTCGGGATAAAAATATGAATGTGGCGCAGTCCATGAGAACGTGTCAGGAGGGCGAGGGGACCAGACCATCACGGTACAATCCGAGATAAGGATGAGAATGATAATTACCAGGTACTGGCCTGTCTCCTGTGTGTCAGGTGTAGTAAGAAATACACACTATCTCATTTACTTCTTACAAGACCCCCATCTTCGGGGCTGTAGCTCAGTGGCAGGACACTTGCCTAGCATGTATGAGGCTCGGGGTTCAATTTTCAGCACCACCAAAAATAAACAAGTAAAATAAAGGCATTCTGTCTATCTACAACCACAAAAAAAAAAAAAAAAAAAAAAAWTTAAAGACTCCCATCTTACAGATGAGGAAACTGAAGCTCTGGGGAGGAGCTTCCCAGCTCATCAGTGCCAGTTCTGGGGCTTGAAACTATGTGTGTTGCAGTCTAAAGTCCATCCTTTAACTCCAGTCTCAGGAGCACAGGAGGAGGAGCCCCTGTCCAACTGGGCAGACAAGACAATTGTCATTGGTCTGTGGGACTTAAACACCAGCCTTGGCTTTTGTAAATGAGTGTCAGTATCAGCTGGGCGGCAGCCAGAGAGCAAACGCTCTTATCTGCTCCTCTTTCTGGCCTTCACCTCTGCCCCACTCTCCCTGTCGGCCTGGTGGACTTTGATGAGCACGGGTTATTTGCCTCTGAGCTCTTGGATTCCTTCCTGGCCCTCTGGAGCTACCCAGGCCCCTGTGAGGACAAAGCCCTGCCCCTGCCCTGTGGGTCCCTCCAAGCCCTGAGATGCGTCCCCCAGCTCAGGAACAGCAGCTGCTCTGGGCTGGGGACGGCCCTCCATAAATAAGAGTCGCGGCCGAGGGAGACACAGGCTGGCCAGGGCTGCATCGATCACCTGGAACCAGTCCTGGTCAACTGCCCCTCTCCCTGGCATTCAGCACGCTGCAGGAGGCCGCGATTGATCTCCACCGGAATTGAATCTCACAAATGGGCGGCGTAATTAAGGGGCCCACGGGGCTTCATCAGAAATCTCCAAGGGCAGAGCAGCGCTGCCGCGTGATGAATGGCCACCCTCCTGCCCTGCTCCCAAGGCACAGATCCGGAGCTCTCGAGGGCAGCGAGTACAGAACAAAACAAGGTGACCCCTCAGAGYGTGCGAGGACAAGGGCCACTGGACCACGTTGTAGGCATTTGCCATACTTTGTACTTAAATGTCCCCCCAGGTCCCACGCATTAAGGGCTTAGTGGTCAGCACTGTTGGGGGGGGGAGTTTAAGAGTGGGGCCCAGCGGGAGTTGCTCTGGTCTCTCCAAAGGGAGAGTGGGGCCCCAGCCCCTTCCTCTGCCTCTCTTYAGTTTCCTGCCTTAAAGTGACTCGTTCTGTTCCCCAAGATGTGCTGCCTCATCCTAGTCTCCAAAGCCATGGGACCAATTGGTCAGGCACTGGAACCTCCAAAACTGTGAGCCCAAACAAACCCCTCCCCTTTCTAGTTTTGATTACCTCCGATGTATGTCACAGTGACAGGAGGCAGAGCAAGACGTGACTTTGGGGTCCTCCTCTCTGGGAACATGGGTCCAGGACCTCGGCTGATGATTATTTTTCTCACCCACCATCAGCATTGGACAAAACCCTGTAGGACAGGTTAAGAAGAGAAAAGAATAACAGATTTAGGGAGTTCTATGTGACACAGAAGCCCTTTGGAAATGGAGAAGGGTTCTAGCTTCTGTGACTGGCTTGGGGAACGGAATTCTGGTTTCCACAGTTGGGGAAGAAAGGGCTGGACGCAGAGGGCAGGAGAAGGGCAAGGAGAGATCTTGCTTCTGATCCTTCCAACAACCCTGAATTCAAAGTCTCAGCCCACCAAGGTGCCGTATTTTGGTGTATTGTGTTCGGAGCCCCCACAGTTACAAACCCACCTTCTAATCAAACACTCAACAAAGTTCCTAGGTGAGGACCTAACTTCTGTTCTGAAGGAGTCCATCTCCCACCACTTTTCACCATGTGGAAAGACAGACACATCCACTCTGCAGAGACTGGGACTCTCGGAGCTTGTGTCCGAATTTCAAGGACAGAAACGATTCTTCATTTGCAACCTGAAGAAAGAACTTTTGAGGAAAAAGCCCAAACATTATTGTTGAACACTTTGGGGGTGTGGATGTCTGTTCATCATCTCCACCAACTGTCCTGGAGGAGGGCAGAAGCCAACTCTGAATGGCACGGGATGAGGTCGTAAAGAGATGGGCCTAGGCAGCCAGGGCAAGGTGGCCAGGGAGGGGGTCAGGGGCACAGCCAGACCAAAGGAGCAGGAAGAGGGTCTTCCAATGAGGTCAACTTCCCGGCTGACAAAGGTGCTCGTGAACACAAGCAGGGGACCCAATCAAACAGACACTTCCAAAAACTTGCCCCTAAGCAGAGGATTCAATAAAAAAACTAAAATAGATGCATGGACACAGGGGTGCCAATGAATAATGGTGAGAGCTCATGAACAGAGGAAATAAGGAGAGGAGGAAATTCCAAGGACCATAAAAAGAAGAGGCCAAAACTCCTCCACCGGACTCCCAAATCCTTCAGAGAGTCTGTCTCTGTCACTCTTGCAAACAGCCTGCTGCTTGCGATCTCTGCACCCTGTTCAATTCTTTGCTGAGTGGAGACAAGGAACCCCACACCCCCAGATGGTAACCACAGGGCACTTCATCCTGCCTGTCATGAACGCTGAATGACCCGAAGCCCTTCATCGTATTTTAAAGAGAATGAGCTGACGGCAGGAGATGAGGAAGTGATAGCTACATATGAGAAATCGTTAAATGGTCTACAAAATGTTCACAGCAAGATCACGGGGTCCCAAAAGAAACGTGCTGAGTTATGGGGCACAAGTGGCGTGTGAAGTCATCATTCTCATTGACTAACAAGTCTGGTGGAGAAAAGAAGTTTTAAAAATGTGCTCTTCTGCGACCACGGAAATGGCAACATCAATTTCCTTGTCAATGACTCTGAAATAATTAAAACTCAGCAAAACTGAACAGGCTGAGTCCTTCAGACCAGAAGAAATAAACAAATCCTCGACCTCAATCATGGGTGATGACAACGCAGATTGAATGAATGAATACCCACCATTTTTGCTGATTTTCATTTCTTCTCATATGATTTTTTTTTCCAATAAAGGCAATTTATATAATGGATGTGCTTGGCCCAGGGTGAGGTGGAAGCCTTCCATTCTAGAACAATAGTTAGAAATCCTCTTGGCTCCAGCAACCTCAGCAGGAGGTCGGGGGGCCTGTGTGCCTGCCCAGGCTATGGAACCGCCCAGGCCCGGCCCTTGCCCGAGGTTCCCAAAGTTCTGTCATGTGTTAGTCACAGCCTCTGGGCCCCTTCTGGGGTTTAGGACAGTGAAGGTGAAGGGACAGTGGCCAGTCTGTTAGGTGCTTTCCCCACTCCCCAGCCCCAGAGCCCCACTCCCTGTCCCCAAGACCTGCCTTCCCAGCAGGGAGACTGGTGTCCTCTGGGGCTCTCTCCCCTCCAGCCATGGAGTTGGGGGTCCCGGACTGGCAGGCACGGTGCTGTAGCCTGCGAGGGCCACCATAGCAAAGTCCTGCAGGGCGGGTGACTTGAAGGTGCACACCCCCCTCCGTCCTGGAGCCTGCAGGTTTGAGGTCCGGTGTGGGCAGGGCTGGCTCCTCCTGAGCCTCTCTCCTGGGCTTTCAGGTGGCAGCCTTCCCTGGGTGTGTCTGTGTCCCAGTCTCTCCTTAGGAGGACACCAGTTCTACCAGGTCAGGATCATCCTGATGAATTTTCTCACCTTATCACCTCTGGAAAGGTGCTGTGTCCAAATACAGTTRCATCCTGAGGTCTCGGGGGGTTGGGCTTCCAAACACATGAATTTTGGCTCCTGCTCTTCCCCTCCACGTTGCCTCCACAGCTCCTCACCTGTCTCTGGGCCCTCCTCTGTGACCAAACTGCTCTGAAAGCTCATGAACAACACTTCTCCCCGCAGGTCACCTGTGGGAGCACGCAGCTCCACTCCCACCTCACCGCACAGTTCACACATGCTTTGTTTGCACACGCACGTGCACACATGCACGCAACTCAAGGAAAACACTGGCTTGGGGACACAGGTGTGCCTCTGACAGCCCCAGGATCTTGTTCTGTCTCCTTAATGGCTGTGGATGACCAGCGTCCAGGTTTACTCATCCCCCAGGTCTGAGGAATGAACTCACACACCACTGCCTAAGCCCAGGGGCCCTCCTCCAGGCCAGGGCACCAAGGCAGCCCCCCATAAAGCCCCCACAAGCCCCCCACATCACGGCCTCCCTGATCTGTGGTGTAAAGRACCCGGTTTTTGTTTGGGATTTGTTTGCTTATTTTTCAGTGCTGGGTCAAACCCAGGGCAGCTAGGTAAGTGTTCTGAGCTACACCCCCAACCCAGTGACCCAGTTTTGAGACTGGGTCCACTAGTGTTAGTGTTGGGGTCGGAGCTGGGCCTGCTTCCAGAGCCTCTACCTAAACCCTGCCCTGCCTCCTTTCTGCCGGAGAGGGGCTCCCAGGAGGGGGGAGGGCCCAGCTGCTGTTTGTACTGGTGACCTAACTCCTGCTGGGGGTGGAGCCCGTCCCAAACACTCCCTGCCTTCACCAAAGCCCCTTGGTGTGCAGCAGTAGGGACCCAGCCTGAGCTGCCCCAGCACCGAGGCTGCTGCACCTCCTGCCCAGGGCTTTGTTCTTGAAGAAGGTCGGAGACAGCTGAGGCCTCTGATCACCGCAGCCATGGTAGGTGCTCACGGTGTGGACAGTCAGTCCATCTGTGCTGTGTCCAGACTAGAACTATGACCCAAGTGTGGGAGGGCAAAATTATGCCACATTTGGGGCCAGGGGAGGCCCTATGGACCCTCCTGACATAAACTTGAGGCTCTGGGGAGGCGTTGGGGTGCAGGGAGAGGTGCAGGGGAGGAAGGCTGAGCTGGACTCAGCACCTTCACTAGGTTGCTGGGAAAGTCACCTCACCTCCAGGGCCTCAATTTTGGCTGCTGAAAACAGGAGTAAGATCACCTAGTCCATGTCACTAATGTAAGATCTAAATAAGTCAGGAGCTGTGGTGCACACCTGTAATCCCAGCAGCTCAGGAGGCTGGGGCAGAAGGATTGAGAGTTGAAAGCCAGCCTCAGCATCGGTGTGGCTCTACGCAACTCAGTGGGGCCCTGACTCTAAATACAATACAAAAAAATAGGGCTGGGGATGTGACTCAGTGGTCAAGTGTCCCTGAGTTCAATCCACAGTACCCCCCCCCCGCAAAAAAAAAAAATCTAAATAAGATATAAGGATCCCAGCACACTGCCCTCTAACAGTGGTGTCCAACAAAGAGAGTCTTATCTCCAGGACTTGGTGCTGTGGGTTAGAGGCCAGAAAGACTCTGCCATTGAGCCTCCAGGATGTGCCCCTTCCCTGCTGGAGAAGCCTGGTGGGGAAGCTGAGAGCCAGGAGCCGCCATTCCTCCTGGCCACCAGGGCTCCTGCAGTCCCCTCTCTGGGCCTTGCTCAACTGCAGCACTGCTGGATCCCTCAGAAAAGTGCCCAGAGCAGGGGCCACCTTGGGTCCTGCCTTCTCGGGCTCTGCCCTTGAACTCATTTAGCCCCCTAAACCTAAGAATGGGCAGAATTTTCCATGCAGCTGTCCATCAGATCAGAAGATATCAAGGAGACAATATCAGGGGGCCCTGCATGGAGACCCACATTTTAGAGTTTCCAGTGCATGTTTGACCTTCCCAGTGCATGTTTGATCTTCAGGTCAGCCCCTGACCTGAGAGCTGATTAGGGCAGAGAGGAGCCTGGGCCCACCACTGTGACTCGGCTTCCCGCTCTACAATGGTGGGGAGTAAGGGAGACACAATCAGGCTTGAATTTCAAAAGCTGGCTTGTTTGGTGAGATACAACATTTTTCCTGGTACAGGTTCATGGGCATAAAGGGGTCCGGTTCCAAAACTGGGCAAGGACCTATGGCTGTTGCCCAGAGATGTACTATCAGCCCACATCTGTGGAAGAGGTTAGAGAGGTGAGTATCCACCTCTGCTCTGCTGCCCTGGCAATGGAGAGGAGGCTAGATATGGGACTCGCTAAGATCCCACCCCAGCCCCAACCCAGAACTGCTGGCCAGTGGCCCCTGCCCATCTCTAATCTGCATAGCCATGTCCCAAGGACCTCAGATCTGCACTTGCTGCTCAGTCCTCTTCTGTGATTTGCACGCGTGCACACACACAGGTGCACAGTCATGTATGCACATTGTCTCATCCACACTCACACTTGCATGGATTTCTGAGAAGAATCAGTGGATAGTAGGGAAGAGCACTGAGTGTAGGAAAGGAAGAGCATCTGGAGAGTCCTGGGTGGTGGCTGCAGGTGCTGGCAAGGCAGAGTGGCTTTGGACTGATCAGAGGGGCAAAAGACTCCATTTGAGGGAGAGAGAGGGAGCTGGGAATGTGTGGTGGTTCCTAAGCAGACCCCTGCCCTGTGAACCACTAAAAGCAGGAGGTATCCCTGCCGGAAAATGGTGTTACACAGTTAAACAGGTGTCTTTATTGTAGAGCACAGAGGCCTTCCACATGCCGAGCAGCAGGGGGGAGGGGGAGGAGCTGGCGAAGACCAGCCCCTGCACAGCATAGCCTGTGCTTCCTGATCTCATGAGACTGTGAGCACTTTGTGGAATAAATCATAAGGCCAGTGTTCTGTAGCACAGATAGGAGGCTGTTGGAGCAGGGAAAAGACAGTGAACAGATTCATTTAAATGACATCATTCATCCATTTATTTCTTCACTCAACAATGTTTAGATGCCACCTATTTTTGCCAGGCCTGGAGTAGGCTCTGCAGGTTCAAAGTCAAATTCAGCCACTGATATTGTCCCTGAGGAGCCCTAGTTGGAGCATGGAGGCAGACCATAGGTCCTTGTAGTCAAGCTAAGGAGCTTGTGTCTTATCCTTAGGACCCTGGGGCGCCCTTAGAAGGTTTTGGGTTGGTAAGGATATGATGGGGTTTGCCTCTAGAGAGCCCTGAGCTGCAGCAGAGAGAATGTCGGATTGGCAGGTTGGGAGGGTCCCTTGGATGTCTACCCAGGACCACTTCCAAGCCCATACTCTCTTTCTTGTGTGACCTGCACAGCAGTCTGGAGTCAGGCAAAGTCCCTCAGGCCTGGTGCATCTCCCGGCTGCCTGCGCCCCCTGCAGGTTAGGCCAGGACCCTGCAGGTTCTCCCGCTGCCTCTCTGACTCTTGTATTGTCTCTGCAGGTACTGGCCCTGGCCAGGCAGCAGAACAAGAAGGTGAAAGTGGTGGGTGGTGGCCACTCACCTTCGGACATTGCCTGCACCGATGGCTTCATGATCCACATGGGCAAAATGAACCGGGTTCTCCAGGTATGGGAGCCCTGGGCTCCCCCTCTGCTGGCCCCAAGCTTGACAGCCTTCACCCAGACCCCAGGGCACATGCTCCTCAGACACCTTGCCACCCCTGAGTCCCCAGAGTAACACTCTGAGTCCTCTGGCCTTTTCTCACACACTCCTCACTTGAACCCTCCCTGGATTTGAGGAGGCCTCAGGTCAGGTCGTCCTGGTCCCTTTGGCCATGGAGAAGTTGTCTACTCCCCTCCCCTGCCAGAGCCTCCTCTCCACTTTGCTAGAACTGGAGCAGGGAATCAGATTCCCAAAAGGCAGACTTGCAACGACAAATTCAGAGAGACCTGAAGTGGCACTTACCTAGCTTTCAAAGTGGAGAAATTAAAGATCAGAGAGGGTCAGTGACTTGCCAGCCAAACAGCAGCAAAGCTGGGCACAGACCCAAGACTGACACGAGCTCTGAGCTGGGATGCTGTCCATGCAATTCAGAGCCTACACTTGGCACCTGCCAGCAACTCAGGGTCCTGCCCCTTGTTAGWACTTCTTTTCTCACCTGCTTCGGTCAGCACCTCTAACCTTAATTTTTGGCAAATAATCCCCTCCCCAAGCCCCCTAGCAAGGATCTGAGTTTCTCTTACTGTTTCCTCATTTGCTCAGGCTGACAGTGTCTACCTCTTAGAAAACATCTGGGCTAAGATATCAGCCATGGCAGTAATTAACTCTGATTGCTAATTAGTGAGGACTGAGCTCTAGCAACTTATTTTTACTGAGCTCTGTGCTCCGGGTCCATGGAAAGAGCATGAGCTTTGGAGTCCAACAGATGTGGACTCTCATCTCGGTTCCGCCACCAGGGTTTGTGTGACCTTGGGCAAGTGACTTCAAGTTCCTGAATCTCAGTCTCACACCTGTAAAATGCAGAGACTGTTCTKACTGCTCAGGGCCACTGTGGGGATCTCACGACAGCACCCTTTTTGCTTGGTTGGGCATCAAACAGATGCTACATCTCTGCCCTTCCAGTCTCGGCCTTTGCCTAGGTCTTCCCAGGGTGAGATAAATGGAGAATCTGAACTCCATTTAGGAAAGTCAGGACCCTAGGGGAGCAGGACCTCTTTAGTTTTTGTTTGCACAGGAACACAAAGAAGTCCCACTGTCCCAGTCTGTGCAGGTGGGCAGGATCCTCGTTCTGGCTCTGCCGTGTGAGCCTGGGCAATACTCGCCCCCCTGGGTGTGCCTCTCCTCCTCCACCCAAGCTCCAGCACCCTCAGGCCCCATGCCCCTTTAGGCTGCCTGTAGCAGGAGCTGGCTCAGGCTGATCACCAGCTGGGACAGACATTCATGTTCCCAAGGAGCCTGGCTGCTGAGGTGAGGCTGGGTAGGGACCTGGTGCCTCCCAGCTCTGCTGGTCTCTTGCAGGTGAACAAGGAGAAGAAGCAGGTAACCGTGGAGGCTGGCATCCTCCTGACAGACCTGCACCCACAGCTGGACAAGCATGGCCTGGCTCTGTCCAAGTAAGAGCCCCTCCCCATTCCCAGGTGGGCCAGGGCTGCCTGCCACCCTGCACCGGCCTGGGCCAGACACTGAAGGATCTGGGGGATTYGAGAAGAGTGTTTCTCAGGGTGCTCTTCTTTCTCTGGATCCCTGTTCTTCCCCCTATGGGTCCAGGGGCTCTTCTGTGGGAACAGAAAGCAGCAGGAGTTGAGTTGAACCTTACATAAGAGTCTTGAACAAGGGTGTCACAGTGGAGCACTAAGAGTGCCTGAAATTTTTCAGTAAGAACTCTAGGGATCCAAACACAAGGATATGCAAAATAAGCACTCAGAGGAACAGAGGAGCATGGGGACCAAGCCACAGGGCTTCCTGGCATGCCCATCCTCGGCCTTGCTTGTCCCTCCATCCAAATGTGGTGTTTCCACCGAAAAAAGTCAAATGCAGCCAGAGGAGTAAATCTCTCTGCATTTCAATCATTAGGAGACGGCTGTTTGGTACATTGATGTAGCAATCTTGTTGCAGCTGGAACTCCACCACAGAAGCCTGAACTTGGCCTTGGTGCCTCAGTCTTATCATAGGGCCTGGGCATCGCARCTCCTTTGCACTCTGGAAACCATCTGCTCCTGCCCCTCTCAGGGTCACAGCAGTGCCACCTGTCCTGGAGTGTCTGCCCTGTGTGGACCTCATTCAGGCCCTGGATATGCAAAACTGAGCAAAGTCCAGGCCCCACACATAAGGACTCCCGGCCAGGGGCAGACAGGTGCAGAAAGTGTCCAGCCCAGTGCAACATGGCAGCCTCCATGTCACCCAAGTGGCCAGCGCACTGTAGACCTCCAGTTGGCCCCAAGGTCAGCCTTGACAGGAGGGGAATGTGCGAGAGGGTGGGAATCAGAGCAGGGTCCCTGCAGGAGGATTCAAAGATAACTAGATATTACTCAGGAAAAAGAAAGGAGGAAGGGATCCCAGGCCAAGGGAAGGCAAGCCTGTTATCTCCACCCTCTCCAGGCCAAAGTTGAGACTTTCTTCCCCTGGGTCCCTCCGTGAGGGCCTCCATTTACCCACCTTGGCATATTCAGAAGGAGCCATATCACCAACTGACCCAGCCCTCGTGGACACGGGTAGACAGGACAGTGAGGGCGTGGGTAGGGGAAGGCTAGATAGTGCTTGYGTTTCCCTCATCCTCTCCCTGTTCTTCCAGGGCAGCCCCCAGGGCTCATCTCCGCTCCCCAGGAAGATATGAAGGGAGGTTTTCCAGTCCTTGTTAAGTGGCCTTGAAAGTAGGATAAGTAGGCCTTTGTCCCCTTGCCACTGGGGCAGGGCCAGGCCAAATGCCCCCCCCCCATTTTCTACTGGTGAGACCCAGGCCCAGCCTATTTCTGTATGGGCCCATAGGCTACCTGGGTTGCTGGGTAGCCACAGTGTAGCCCCATGGCCCTGGCTGTCCCTGGACCATCAGTAAATATTTGTTTCCTTCTCCCTTAAGCTCGTGCCGAATGTCTCAAAAAATTCCCAAAAGTTAGGGTTTTTGGTTTTTGGTTTTTTGTTTTGTTTTGTTTTGTTTTTTTTGACTCCTGTTCCACTCCTCTTCCTTGACCCTGAGATCCAGGCAAGAGTTTCTAATTCCCACCCCCATAGCACACGCCTCCCGAAGGGTGCTGCTCCCCTATGGGTCTGTCCCCTGTGCCCAGTGCCCACAGAGCTCCTCTTACCCATTCTGGGGCCCAGAGCCCCAGGCCGAGGGATACAAGCTTTATCCTGGAGTCCCCAAGGAACCCCGCAGGTTTCCCAGCAGAGAGTGGCGGGCCCCCTCGTCCTCCCCACCAGCTCCCCCCCTCCTGGGACATGCGTGTGCTTGGGACCACAAGGACTTCCCAGGCTGGCTGCAGAGGAGTCTGTGAAAGCCTGTGCCATCGCCCAGTGGAAAGACGTGGRTGGATGGAGGAAAGTGGCCTTGTGGACTGCAGACACCCCAGACCCCAAGCAGCAGCCTCCCCTCAGACTGCACCAGGGCCCCCGGCTCCTCCAACAGTCCACTGAGATGAGGCAACCGAGGCWCAGAGAGAAGCAGGGCCAGCCGTGCTGCCCGGGCCGAGGGTAGAAGTGGGTAAGGCCTCCCCTCAGTCCAGGGGGCCTGTGGTCCTGAGAAGCCTAACTGGTCGCTGGTGTCCCTCTTCCTCCCTCCTGCTGAGTCCAGCCTGGGAGCTGTGTCAGATGTCACAGCAGGTGGCGTCATTGGGTCCGGAACCCACAACACAGGGATCAAGCACGGCATCCTGGCCACTCAGGTGGGTACCCTGCAGCCACAGGCAGGGCCGGCTCAGCGTCTGCGCACCTCGAGCTCAGCCCATCTCCTCTCGGATGGAGGGAGACTCGASAGGGGCCCTGCAGGGACGGGACTGTTCAGTTTAGCAAGTGGGGTCAGGGRTCAGCCAGCAGCCAGATGACCCACGGTAGAGCCCATCCAGGTGGCCAGGGATGTCTGGCCTTTCCATAAATACACTTCATGAACTTCATGAGGGTCCAGCTTGGGGAAGGTCTGGGGCTCAAACCTGCAGTCAAAGCCTCACTCCACCACTCCCTGGGCAGTGCACGTAGGTAGATTGCTCAACTTTTCTAGACGTTGCTGTGAACATCGTCAGCTAAAATGAAGAATGAGAGATGACCCTTAGGTAGCCCACAAGAAATGGACAGCCACCAAATGGCAGTTCAGAGGATGCTGTGTCCAGAGCCAACCTTCCCGAGTAAATAGCTTTAACTTAACAATCTGCCTTAAGAGGGGCTGATCTGCAGGTGGGTGGAGTCCTCCATGGACTCTGCCTTTTCCTGCTCAAAGCTGGTTTACTGCCCAGGAGAGCCCAGTGGTATCAGGGGCTGAGGACAGCATGAGAGCCACCCCCCCACACACACACATTTGGCGATAGTCCCAGCCCATTGTCCAGGACTGATGTCAAGCCAGTTTCTACAAAATGATCAGCAGAGAACAAAAGCAATCCTGAGAGAGCATACATCCTGAGAGAGCATGCAGGATTCCCTGGCCACCTCTCTTCGGAAGCCCTGGAAGCCATGTCTGGAAACTATGGGGAGTTGCTTACTGTTGGATTTTGCATCTCAGGCCCAAGGCAGGGAGCACTGAGACAGAGCTGACAACTTTAGTGTYCACTCTACACTAGGCAAATATCCACAGGCATGGCACATTCTCTCATTGAGTCCTCGCCCCGCTTTCTGAGATGGTTGTTGCTATTATACCCATTTCACAGGTAAGGAAACAGATGAAAGAACATGAAAGTCCGTCTGTAAACACAGTGTCCACCCTTCATGATGTCTAAGTCCCATCGAAGCATTGCACAGGCCGGCTCTCATCTGCTGCTCTGGATCTTAGACAGAATCTGGTTTTTGTAAAAATTAACACGATGTCCTCACTCCCACAGATGCCACCATGCCCCATTTCTGCCAGTTTCTCCTCTCTGGTCCTTGGTCACTGTTAATCAGAATTAGTTCGGCTGTGTCTTTTCTCTCATGCTGAGCCACCGAGCCGCCAACTCCATGTCAGAAGCAATTTCCATCCAAATTAGCAGGTAGCAGAGCGTGGAGAAGGCCTTCGACAGTGGTGAAAGAGCGTCCCTCTGGAAATGGGGGCCAAGGGCAGACACGCTCTCACCCATTTCTAACCCAAGTTCCAAGTACTAGCAGCAACCCCAAGTGTCTGGTTGGTGAGGCCAAGAAGGAGGGTGGAGTTCCTCAGGAAAAGGGGTCCCTGAGGCAGGGGAAGGCCCAGCGTGGCCAACGTGTAGACCAGGAGTAGCTGGGACCTGGCTGAGTTGGGACAGCAGGGCCGGCCTGACCCAGGGGCACACGTGCTCTTACTTTGCCTTCTGTGATAGCCAGCTTTTTGTCACTGTGACCAAAATACCTGCCAAGAATAACTAGAGGAGGAGAGACCTAGTTTGACTGGGTTTCAGAGGATTCCGTGCATGTGGGCCAGCTCCCCGGCCGACACAGAACAGCAGGTGGGTGTGGCAGGGGAAGCTGCTCAGCTCCTGGCAGCAGAAAGCAGAGAGAAGGGGCCAAGGACAAGATCAACCCCCCAGGGACCTCCTTCCTCCCACTAGGTCCCGCCTCCCCGACGTGAATTCAGCTACCGAGCTGAATGGATTAAATAGATCGACCCACACATGATCCAATCCCTTCCCCAAAGCCCCCCTCTGGACGGTGCTGCTCTGGCTGAACACCGGACCTTGGGAGGACATTCAAGATCCAAACCGTAACCAAGCAGCTCCCCCGGGAGCTCTGGGCTCTGGCAGCCCGGTCCACCCCCAGAGCACCTCTGGGCAGGGAGGCTCCCTGCCTCCTGGCTGCGAGGCACAGAGGGTGAGGCAGCCATTCCCAGAACCCAGGGGATGAGAGCAGCTGAGGGCTGTGCCCACCCGGACCAGCCTGCCTTTCCCTGCTCCCCTTCTCCTGAGACTGAGAGGCCTTGGTCTGACAGGAGACAGGGCGCAGAAGTGTGGTCCGTTGGGTGACTCCTGGCCTYCCTCCTGAGGCAAGCAGGGAAGTGGGGTCAGTGGCCTAGCAGGGTTCTGAGGTGTGACTCTTCTCCCACTGCCAGGTGGTGGCACTGACTCTGATGACAGCTGATGGGGCGATTCTGGAATGTTCCGAGTCCAGCAACGCAGAGGTGTTCCAGGCTGCGCGGGTGCACCTGGGCTGCCTGGGAGTCATCCTCACCATCACCCTGCAGTGCGTGCCCCAGTTCCACCTGCAGGAGACGACCTTCCCCTCAACCTTGAAGGAGGTACTGGTCCCTTGCTCACCACTGCTCAGGCTCAGGAGAGAAGTGGAGGACTTCAGCAAGTCAGCCACAATCCCACTGACAGTCCCCATGGTCCCCATGAATTACGAGGTCTGACCTCATCACCCCTTTCTTTAGCCCTGGGGAGACTGTGGCCTGAGTCCTGTGGGCAGTAAACCCCAGAGGGACTGCAGCGGGTGGCAGACAGGGGGGCAAGAAGGGGCCTGCCCCAGGGGACAAGGGCCAGATGAGAGCCAGAGAGGACACGTCCAGGATTCCCTGTCAGTGGAAATCTCCACCATCATGGAACCGGGCACCCAAGAATAGCCCAAATACAGTCCCATTCTGAGGAACTGGAGGTTAGGACTTCAACACAAGAATTCGGGGTCRAAATGGAGCACTACTCAACCCGTAGCAGAGGTCAGGAGTCCCCTGGGCAATTGACAGTGAGAGTGTGGACCACCCCAAGAGAGCGGGTGTGGGTGAGAGGGGAAGGTCCTTGGGCACAGGAGCACTCAGGGAATGAGAGGGTGCAGAGGGATTGTGAAGGAAACTAGGCCCCATCAGACAGGAAGGAAGACAGGAAGAAGCGGCCGGGTTCCCAAGGCCACGGGGGCTGGCCTCCATGTTGGAGGGGCCATACAGCCAGTGCTGCAGGGGCTCAAGGATCAATACCCAGATCTGGGTGAACCTCAGGAGGCCACTGCTGACCTCATGAGAGCAGCTTTAGTAGAGCGCAGGCAGGTTAAGGGGTGAATGGAAGTCGCATGGGAGGAAGATCTGGGCAGTAGTGTCCTCTCCCGGTCAGAAAGGGGCTCAGCCCCACCTGGCTGTTGAATTTGATTTTCTGCCTCTGGCTGGGGTCGGAACTCAATCAGTTTGAAGCTGAATATTTTGACTCAGAGATAAAGGGATTGCTTCTTTTTGCCTGAGCACCCCATGTTCCTTTTCAGATAGCAGAGCTGCTGAGTCCTTTGACGCCAGGCCACCCTCTATGCTCCCCTTTGGCCTTACTGAGATGGRTTGAGATTCCTGCCAATCCCTCTTCCATTAGAGCCTCACCTTGGGCTGCCTTCTCCACCCCAACATGCACACCAGCACTCACGTGCACATGCACACACGTGTATRCATGCTCACACGTCAGCTGACAGCTGTCCATGAGCCTGCAGCTCACCTCAACATGGAGACTTGTAACTTGGGACATTCTTGAAAACTCAAAGTGAAACTTTTAAGCAATGTTTCAAAGTTCCCAATTTGAAACAAAGTTTCAATTGTTTCCAAGTTCCCAGTGGCTTAGATTTTAAGACTATGATGACTTCTAAGAAAAAACAACTGCAATCTCCTCTGCTAAAACAGAACCCACAAGTGCACACACATATAATCACACAACAAAAACTCTCAAGGGGAAGGAAATGGGCTCTGGGGAGAGGCCGGGCCCCTGAGCCTGGCTGGGCTGCTTTCTCTGGGTGACCTTGATCCTGTGCCTAAACATCTGGGGCCTCAGTTTCATAGTGTTTTACATGTGAGGTTGGACTTGATGTTCCCGAGGTCTTTCAGGTCTGACATCCTGTGAGCCAGTGAAGCGCTTGGATGCAAAACTGTCCCCTGTTGTCCCCCACTGCTGGGACAGAGGGCTGTGTACTGCATTACTATGACCCTCCTTTGGAGCATCTGCTGAGAGCACTAGGGCCTTGTCCCGAGGAGGACAGGAGCCCACCCAGCTCATCCTCCCAGGGTGTGGGGAGCGGGATTTCTCTCCTCCCACTCATGGGTCAGCCAGTGTCCTTGGTGGCTTCTCCTTCCTCACTGCCCTTGCACCTCGCAGAAACAGTCCCCAACTCCTCCTGTCCCCAACACCTACCCTGCTGACAGGTGCATGCCGAGTCCAGGGTCTGAGCCAATCCTGGACTCTCCAGGCTGGATATCCTGGTCACACCTGATTGGCTCACAAATGTTATCCCCTCCTCTTGACGTTTATCCCCTTCTTCCTGCTGCTGGGTGATCCGTTCTGCAGTGCAGAGATCTCCTCTGAGGCGTCTGTTGCTCCCCCAGGATCCATGAAGTACCTGGAAGTGCTCAAGTAACTCAGTGGGGGGTGGTCAGTTGATCAAGATAATTGATCATCCTTTTCCAAGATTTTCTCCATCTCCTCCCACCCTGGCTAGATGGGGCTCATCTCTGATCCAGTTCAGTGCTCCCCTATACTGGTTCTCCTAAAGACTCCTCAGTAAGGTTGTTGGATGCTGATCACAGTCCTATGAAAGAAAGCAGTCATTCCCAAGCCCAGAAAGTGTCAGAATCAGCTTTTTCATGATACAGGACAGTAGGGTGAGGTCAGATGTTGGTCCAATTCTGTGAACGTGCTGCGGAGAACGAGCTGTCCTTGTGCCTTTTTACAATGAATTCTCAGCATYGTCCACTCATTGTAGCCTGGTTCACATGAAATCATAGTAACTCATTCCCAAAAATCAATCCCATAGCATTATTACTCTAAATTTGAGGGACAGAATCCACTAGAAACCTTCATGCCAATAGCTAGCAAAACAGCACTTCCTCTGAGACTAAAGTCCTTTGATGGTGCTCCTAGGAAATCCATGATCCCGGGGACCCTCGTTCTCCAGACAGGACAGTTTGTTTGCAAGTCCTGGTTGAAGAGTTGGGATAGTGCCACCAGTCAACAACCACTTAGTGCTAGATGAGCACCACAGAGTCACTGTGCCTAGTTTAGTGCTAAGTCGCCCTTCCATCATGGAATCATCCCAGGTGGGAAGCTGGACAGGCATGTTTCAGGAACCAGAGCTGAGAAAAGGGGACCATTACATTCCCTGCTGGGATTGAGACTTGAATCCAGAACTTGTTCCAAGACCAGAGCTCTTCCCTCAACCCCACAACTGGAGATCAATCCCCAAATCTATACTTTGTCACAACTTGACCCATACCTGCTTGATGGGTTTCAGGGAGATGATTCACCTGTGACATTATTTCAGTGTGTCAATGATGAGCCACTTCAGAGCCGTTCATTAAAGAACTACTATGCATCAGGGGATAAGAAATAATGATAATGATGACAGCAATGAGGACAATGACAAGATAAGAGTAACTGTTCTAGAAACTGTAGTGCATGCCTACCTAGTGCTTAACATGTGCCTAGTATCACATTAGGCACTTCCTAGCCATTAGCTCATTTAATCTTTGTGACAGTCCTGGTTCTACAGATGAAGAACTTGAAGCAGAGTGATAAGTAACTCTCCCAAACTAGTAATTGCTTAAAGTAGGACACACAAGAAGTCACTTGTGTCCTCTAAGCTATTAGGGAAGTCATCATGTAAGTGGACCATCTTAGTACCCACATATTTGAAGACTCATTCTGTGCCATTTGGCAGTGTGTGGGCAATCTTAAGTATTTCCTTTTGCCAGAGAGAGACTGAAGCACATCTGGCCCCTGATTTCCAGTGTTCCCTACCACTTCTGTGACCACCAGTCTCTTCCCTTTCCTCGCGCTGGTCTAGGTCCTGGACAACCTGGACAGCCATCTGAAGAAGTCCGAGTACTTTCGCTTCCTCTGGTTCCCACACAGTGAGAACGTCAGCATCATCTACCAGGACCACACCAACAAGGTAGGTATGGCGGTGCCCCTGGCCCTGCCCAGCATCTTGGAGAGGGCTCTACCCAGCCCCAGAGTGACTGACACTTCATGCCTTCCTGATGGTCAGGGAGCTGGGAGTATGGCTGAGTGTAAGGAAGCAAGCAACAGGGCCAGAGGGTGGAGGGAAGGAGAAAGGGGGCCAAGTGGGACCCAGTGTATCCAGAGTGGGGACCCTTAGGATGTGTTCAGAGTCAGTCTAGATGTAGGGAGAATGAAGCAGAGGACAGGGTAGGACAGGTGAGAGTCCTAGACAGCTGGGCTGGACCTCAGAAACCTCTCTTATGTCTGTCCTTCCCTCTACTGCCCCCACCTCCAATCGTAGAGTTGAAGAAACCACTAGTTTGATCTCACCCATGTCCTTGGCCAATGGCTGCTTCTCGGCAGATGAAAACAAAGCCATCACCCAGATGAGCACTGAGGGGGCCACAACCCCTCCTGATGGGGGCAGCACAGGTTCATAAAAGGTGATTGCTGGACCCCTGGCTTGTGGGCTTTCCAGAGGAAGGACATTTACTTTGTGCAAAGTAAATGAACAAACACTTGGAGAAAGAAGCATGAAACCAAAGGTTAGAGCATAGCACCTGGTTGTGCCTCCAGGAAGGAAAGCTTTCAGCAGCCCCACCCTCCACCTCTGCCRCCTTCCTGCACCAGCCACATCCCAGACACCAAAAGTCAGGAGGCAGCTCAGCCCTGGCACTGAACTGATGACACGTTCTCCTTCCCAGCCCCCCTCTTCTTCAGCCAGCTGGTTTTGGGACTATGCTGTTGGATTCTATTTACTGGAGTTCCTGCTCTGGATCAGGTAGGAATGCAAAGGTACCTTTCTCTGCAACTGCCATATACTGCTAAAGATGTAGTTCATCGGAAGAATAATTCCCCTACCTTTATGCATGCAAGTTGTGTCTGTCTCCTGGGTCTTGGCAGAAGTTTGCATCCCTGGATGCACATTTRAATCAYCTGGGGAGCYCTAGGCTCACCTTAAGGACAATGGAAGTCATTAGAAGAGTTTGAGGGAGGAAGTATTTTAAAATGAGCCATCCAGCTGCCAGGAGGGATGGCTGGGAAAGAGAAAGAGGGAATGTGAGAAGAAGCTGCAAGCCCACGTAAATGATGCCTATGATGAGGTGGTGTCTATGGAGATGGAGAGAAATGAATGAATAAATGGATGGATGGATGGAAGATAGATGATGGATGGATGGATGGATGGATGGATGATGGAAGGATGGATGGTGAATGGATGATGGCTGGATGGATGTTGGAAGGATGAATTATGGATGGATGATGGATGTATGAACAATGGATGGATGATGGAAGGATGGATGATGGAAGGATGGGTGATGGATGAATGGATGGATGAATGATGGATAGGTCCAAAGTATATTAAAACAAAAACGAAAAATACATGGTGTATTTAAAAAGTTGAAATGTCTAGACCTAAGAACAAATAAATAACAGATGTGCCCAGGCATTGATGAAATCATCTCCAGGCTCCTTAATCAGGGTCTACCTGGGACTGACCCTCTGTCAGTCACTTTAACAAAGCAAGTATCCCAGTGGGACCAGGACTGCAGATTTATTTCCTAACGGTGCATGGCTAAGAGTAGGAGACACAATACTGACACATAATGGGCACCATGTGGAGATACTTCATCCTGGGTCAACCTTCCAGTGACAAGAGATAAGAAAATGGAGAATTTCATTTTGTCCCTTCTCTGATGTTGACATCTCCTCTCCTCCTGGAGGCCATTCCACTTGTTCCCAAGCCAACTGWAGAGTTTCCTCTCATCCTCCCAGAGTCTTGTGTGCATTCCCCAGGGGTGGTGTCACCCTGTGATAGGTTCCTGAGTACAGTCCATCTTTGCAATGAAGTTTCTGGCATCTGATGCATAAGACTCATTCCCTGGGTTTGACCATGAGAAAATACAGTGGGAATTAGTCTCAATCTAGAGTCCAACTTCCTGTCTTCAGATTCCTGCTGTTCTACCTAGCAGGACTGGGGCAAGTTGCAAAATGTTCCCATGCCTCAGTTTCCTCACCCATAAAACAGAAGGGTGATAGTATTCATGACAGAGTTGCAAGGCCCCAGTGAGATCAGGTAAAACTCTTAAGCAACCCTTGGCCCATGGAGGATGTACCAAGTGTTGGCTGTTATCCTTTGCTCTGAGAGATGCCATTCACTTTTCCCCTACTTCTGGCTCCTGTCTGTCCAACTCTCCCCTCCAGAGGACACTGCTTAGGGGCCTGTAGAACCAGATGATTAGCACATCTAGGATGAGCACAGTTGTCATYTACTGGTCCTCAGGTCATCCTAGCCCCTTTGCTGGATCTCCCTCAAATGCATCCACTCCTCTTTGGTGCTGCACCCGGGCACTGTCCTTATAGCCCCACAACGGCTCCTTCCTTCCTCCCACCTCACCYTGCACCCTCCCCCCAGTAGCCAGGCTGATCATTCCAAAAGACAAATTAGATGATATCACCTCCTGCCTCAAGGCAAATGGGGGCCTCATTAAACTAAAATTCTCAAGCCATGCAGTGTAGCCTTCTAACCAGGCAGTTTAACAGTTCTTTGTGTGTTCACAGTGTTGTACAACCATGCCCTCAGTCTAATTGAACATTACTATCACTCCCCATCAGCATTCCCCAACATCTCAACCCCAACCCTGGAAAACACTAATCTGTTCCCTGTCCCTATCAATTTGCCTATTCTGCACATTTCATGTAATGAAATTAGATGGTATGTGACCTTTGTGACTGGCTTATTTTGCTTTGTGCATTGTTTCCAAGGTTCTTTGTGTGGTAGTATATGTCACTATTTCTTTCCTTCTATGTACAAATAATATTCCACTGTAGGGCTAGACCACATCTTTTTTACTGATTCTTCAGTGGATGGGCATTTGGATTGTTTCCACTTTTGGGTGCCCCTGGATAATGCTGCTGTGATTTTCATGTAAAAGTTTGTGTGTGGACTCATTTTCAGTTCTTTGGGCACATGCCTAGTAGAGGAATTGCTGCCTCAGATGGCAATTCCATGCTTAGCTTTTTAAGAAATTGCCAGGTTTCCAAAGGAACTGTACCAATTTATAAGCTCACTGGCAATTTACGAAGATTCCAATTTCTCCATATCCTAACAAAGTCATCCTGTTTAAGGTGGTATCTCATTGTGGTTTTCATTACAATCTCTCTGATGATAATGGCATTCAGCATCTTTTCATGTGTTTACTGGCCATTTGTGTACCACATTTGGAGGGAGAAATGTCTAATTCAGATATTTTTGCCCATTTAAAAATGGATTATTTGACTTGTTACTGATGAGTTTAAGAGGTTTTTTTTTTAATATATTCTGGATCCAGTCCCTTATCAGATATATGATTTGCAAATATTTTCTCTCATTCTATGATTAGTCTTTCTACTTTTTTAATAGTGTTCTGTGGAGCACAAATAATTTTAATTCTCGTTAAGTCCAATTTATTATTTTTTTGTTGTTGTTTTGTGTTATTGTCTCTTAAAAAAAGTCGTAACCCAAGATCATAAGGATTTTCTTCTAAGAGTTTCATAGTTTAGACTTTCAGCTCTTCTGTTGCTCTGATCATTCTCTATGGTTTGAGGTAGGGATTCAACTTCACTCTTTCCTTGTGGACACCTAGTTGTCCCAGCACCATTTGTTAAAAGTTTCTTCTTTTCCCATCAAATTATCTTTGTACTTTTGTTAAAAACAATTGACCAAATATGTCAAGGTGATTTTCTAGACTCTCTATTCTACTCTCTTGATCTATAGGTCAGTCCTTAGCCCATACCATCTCGATTCCTGCAGCTTTATAGTAAGTTTTTATTTGATTCAGGAAGTGGGAAGGGATCTGAGTCCACACCCTTCACCAGTTTCCCCTCTTGCCTTGTTATCCTTGGGATGAAATCACACTTTGCTCCTGGGGTTGTTTCTTCCCCTCCTCCTCCTCCTTCTCCTTCTTCCCCTCCTCCTCCTCCTCCTCCTTTCTTCTCCTTCTTCCTTCTTTCTTCTTTTTTTTTGGTACCAGGAATTGAACCCAGGGACACTTAACCACTGAGCCACATCCCCAGCCTTTTTATTTAAAATATTTTATTTAGAGACAGGGTCTCACTGAGTTACCTAGCACCTCACTAAATTGCCAAGGCTGGCTTTGAATTTGCAATCCTCCTGGCTCGGCCTCCTGAGCCGCTGGGATTACAAGCATGCACCACAGTGCTGGGCCTGGGGGTTCTTCTTCCTCCGAGGTCTTTCTCTTGTCGGTCTGGTGGGTTCCCAGTTACCCCACCACACCCAGCTCAAACCTCCCACCTTCACTAAGCACTCCAGGGAGTTAGTCCCCCTCCATGCTTCTCACCTTTTTAGTGATCACAAAGTTGCCTACTTGAAAGTTCTTGGTCTTTCTGTCCAGCTCCTCATGACCATGCAGATGGCCTCCTTCAAGCTACTGCAGTGAATCATTAGTGGCTCCAGAAGATGATTAGACCAGCTCAGCTCAGCAAGACCCTGAGCTGGCCTGTGCCCATAGGGTCATGGTTGGTGGCTCCCCCAGGCCCAGCACTGGCTGCCCCCACAAAGAGCCTCTGGACCTTGCCCCTTGGCCCCATGCCAGGACCTGTCCCCCTCTGGCACCCCCCGACCCAGCTGTCAGCTGCCAACCTGAGGTCTGCTTCCTCCGTCTTCCTTCCTGTCTTCGCCTCTCTGCTCACAGCCCTGAACACACACAAGACTACTCAGCTCCAAGGACACAACCTAGCACTGTTCACCTCCCAGGATGGGACYGTCCCCACCTTCCCACATCCCTGAGCCCTAAGAGCACATCATGATGTAGGAGAGCCAGGGTGTCAGGTTGACCAGGCTGRAATGCATGTCCTCGAGGTCCCACCACAAAGGCAAACATAAATATTAGCCAGGACACAGCCCACCCGAGAGCTTCCCCTCCCTCCCCTCCACCTGGTCAGATGCACAGGCCCTGGGCGAGATGCTGCTCCAGCCTGGGGAATTTCCTTTGTGTTCTTCCCTTTCCAGCCTAGYTATGGTGAACATTCAACTCGTTTATAAAGAGAAAAAAGGACCTTGTGGGGGGGGGGCCTGCATGTGTGTGTATACACTGATTTTGGCGAGTGAGTTTCCTGGAGTGGAAGGCCAGGTGGCAGCTCCTTCCTGGCCCAGGAAGCGCAGAGCCCTCCCTTGGTAATTACCTGGACAGCTCTAGCTCCATTTCCAGGCACAAGAACTTGGGACTGGAGACCCCATCCAAGGAACTGGTCCCCACTGGCCACTTAACTCTACAGCAATCCAGGCTTCCCAAGGTGTGGAAGGAGGGTGAATACCACAGTCCAGCAGTGACCTGCTGAAATTAAAACCCCTTCTGCCCTTTGCCCCAACCAGCTGGTGAGGCTTTGGGACAAAGACATTTATTTCAGTGTGGTCTGAGGTGGCAAGAGGCTGAGAACAATCTGAATAGCTATTAATAGGCAAACCGTGGATAAAGGGTACAGTGTTACCACTGGAGTCCTAGACCAAGGCCTGACTCTGGGATCCAACAAGTCAGGTCCTACCATCGCCCAAAAGCCAAACTGAGAGGGCACTGGTGGAAAGCACGCAAGGAACTTTCATCACCATAGTTACCCAGGAAGACAAGGGACCCGTGTCCTCAGCCCTGTCTTCCAGGGGCTGACAGTGACTGTTTTAGAAAAGGGAATGGAGACAAAGCCGGAGGGATTGGAGGGAAGGCACAGCTGCTAGATCAGGAGATCTAGGCCAGGTGGGGCGGGGCAGGGCACCACCCCAGGACAGGTGCCTCCCGGTCACCATAAGAAAGCTCCTCGTAGCCAGGCATGGTGGGGCACACCTGGAATCACAGCCGCTCGGGAGGCGGAGGTGGATCACAAGTTCAAAGCCAGTCTCAGCAACTTAGTGAGACCCTGTCTCAAAATTTTAAAAAGGGCTAGGGATTCGATTCAATCCTTGGTACCAAAGCSAGCTTTTCTTGCCTGAGACATAGTTTTGATTCTTGTCTCAAGAGCTTGAACCATCAGGCCTCTTGCTCCTGGAGTCCAAGGTGTCTGAGGAGCTTGTACCAAAAGGAAAGTCAGACAGGTGAGCCAGAGTGAAAACAGGACGGGGTCAGTGATGAGGCCCTCCCTCATGAAGTCCCCTCCCCTGGTCGGCCATGCAACCACCGAAGAGTGATTTAGAGCCACAAGCTGCAGGAGGGATTTCCAAGCTGTAAATAAGCCACAAAGGCACCGAGTGTTGAATGAGTACCTTGCATACAGCTAGCACACAACACATGCAAGTATTACAATCATGATGCCCCCTCAGCAGAACCCAATGTGCCCTCCCTGTYCCTCCAGCACCTTCCTGCCTTGCCTCGTGGGCTGGATCAATCGCTTCTTCTTCTGGCTGCTGTTCACCCGCAGGAAGGAGAACAGCAACCTCAGCCACAAGATCTTCACCTACGAGTGCCGCTTCAAGCAGCACGTCCAGGACTGGGCCATTCCCAGGTAGGCCTGTCCTGGGGCAGCTGTACCCAGTGGGCCACCCCGGGGCAGAGCCCTGTCACCACCAGGCAGAGCCTGGGGGTTCGCCCGCCGCCCCTTCCTCTCTGAGGCCTGGCTTCTGTCCCCCTGGACTGAGCAGAGAGAAGACCGAGGAGGCCATCCTGGAGCTGAAGGCCATGCTGGAAGCCCACCCCAAGGTGGTGGCCCACTACCCCGTGGAGGTGCGCTTCACACGGGGGGATGACATCCTGCTGAGCCCCTGCTTCCAGAGGGACAGCTGCTACATGAACATCATCATGTACAGGTGATGGGCTCACGGAGAGGCTGGGCCAGGTGGGAGGAGGTCCCCCTGGATTTGAAAGTGCCCTTCCTCGGTGTYTCAGTGCTGGCTCGGACGCCACCTTCTCTAGGGGGACTCTGCTTAYTCTGACAGCTGGAGTCGGTCTCTCTCTCTGAATTCCTTATGACACTTCCTCTCTGTAGGCTCTGATGACATAGATGTGGCTAGTCTACATTATGTTAATGTAATRTTCATATTGCTTATGAACTAATATCAATTAGGAATAACTCTGATGCAGATATTATGGAATGATAGCTATAGTCCACCTCATGAGCCCACTCTGGTCAGGGATCCTGACAGCCTGGAATGCCGGGTTGAGAAAGATTCCGAGGCTGGGTATCAGTTTGGCAGGAGAGAGGATCCTGCTTGACACCAGTGCCTGTGTGCAAGCACGTGCCCTCTTGATGGCTCTGCAAGGCACATTCCCAGGGCTGCATTGAATTCATCCTCCTGAGTGGGCATCAGGCTCCAGGAAGAGGCTCCTGTCCCTGGGGAGTAGAAGTTCATACATTATAAAATTTCTGCCTCCCCATTCCACCTCCGTCCATCACTGCCCTTCTGACTGCATGAGAACACTACCCCCTCACCCTCCCTGAGTGTATTTCTTCAGTGTAAGACCCAGCCTCGGGGTGGGGGGGGGGTCCAGGGGATGATTCAAGAGAGCGCTGCTGCTGCTGAGGGCATCCCAAAGAGCCAGGTCAGAGAGTCTCTGGAAGACTGATTGAAGGGGCGGGCGGTGGCTCACATCAGAGAGGAGCAAACTCCTGGTGAGCCTCGCACCCCATCCATTGATCTATCTTTTCCCTTCCTGTGAATTCCAATTCAGAGGTGAGGAGGCCGGCGGGGGAAGGCCTCTCAACATGTCCATCTGCATCTTTAAAAATGAAGTCAGGCTTTTCTGTCAGTCAGTCGGTCTGACTTGGCCGGTTGACCAGGCGGTGAGAACTGGGTTGTCCAATAGGTCATATGACCACGGTCTCCAGACCTGAACCAGGGTATCCTGAGCTTCCAAGGTCCTGTTAAAAGATAGCTAAAGCACCGAGCATGTGTAYGGAGACACACACATACAGTCATGTGTCACTCAACAATGGGGACATGTTCTAAGAACTGTCAGTGGGTGCTTTTGTCATTTTGAGCATCGCTGGGTGCGCTTAGATAATCCTAGGTGGTACCGCCTACTGCTCCCCTAGGCTGTAGTTCAGCCGCTGTCCATGTCCTGGGACCAGAGTCAGCMTTCATCCCCACCCCACGTGGCAAGACTGGGCAGGTACCTGATGACWGGGTTGGATGCAGGGCAAGGGAAGGCTCATCTCCTTTTGTCGCCCCCCACCCCAGGCCCTATGGMAAGGATGTGCCGCGGCTGGACTACTGGCTAGCCTACGAGACCATCATGAAGAAGTTCGGGGGCAGGCCCCACTGGGCCAAGGTAGGACTCCTGGGCAGAGCAGCAGGACAGAGCTGTGCGTCGTGGCTTCCACCAGGGGGCGCTTCTCCCCCTGTTCCCCCAAGCCCTCCAGGACAACCATCAGAAACGCTTGGGCTGRTCCTCCCTCCTCCACACTCAACTCCCCTCCCTGCGCTCTGGTTCCAACACACCAGGACTGCTGTGCTCTCCGGTCTTCAGAGAGATGCCTTTCACTTTGATTCTCATAGGAAGCTTATGAGCAGGATCAGGCACAGGCATCAGTGAAACCATGTAACAGACAGGAAAGGGAGGTGGCTCCATGGCACTGAAACCACAGCCCCTCCACTGTGGCACACTGCCCTTGGCAATGGGAATAGCAATCCAGGGCTGCCTTCTAGCCCCTTCCTGCTGTGCCTTCCAGGACCCTCTCCCTTCTGTTTGGTCTCTACGTGGTGCACCTGCGTGTGCGTCTGGGGGAGGGGTGTTTCGCACACAGGCTGGGGGACTCTGGGGAGGCTGCATTGCAACCCTGCTGAGCTGCAGGCACCAGGGACAAGGCCGCTGCTTCTCGTTGTCTCCACAGGCCCACAACTGCACCAGGAAGGACTTTGAGAAAATGTATCCTGCCTTTCCAAAGTTCTGCGCCATCCGGGAAAAGCTGGACCCCACTGGGATGTTCCTGAATTCCTATCTGGAGAAGGTGTTCTACTGAAGCCGTAGAACCCCACGCCTGTCCCAGCCCGCCTTGATAAGGGTGGAGGCCCAGCGTCCCCCAACAGAGGGGCACACCTCCCCTCCAGACCCCACGGCCAGAGCTGGGCTCCCGCAGTCTCCCCTCCTTCCCTCCCTTATCCTCACAGCGCGCCCAGCAGTAGGTGGCCCAGCACCCCAATCCCTGTTTACATCTCTGTGACCTCCTTTTCCTGCCCCTGTAATCAACACACCTGGGAGAAAGGGGCAGCCCAACATAGTGTGTCTGTCCAGAGGTCAGAGATTCGCTCATTGGCAAGGTCCACCTGCTGGCCAGGTGGGAGTGAAGTCCCCAGGTCTGCAGCTGCAGGGGTCCCTTCCCAGCCCCCGTAGCAGGTGTGTGGGCGCAGAGGTGGTGTGGACCTCTGCTTTCTCTCCCACATAAGGCTCTTTCAAATGCTCAGCTGACTACCTGCCTACAACTGCTCTCTGCCAGAAGTCTCGGATAGCCTGGGTCTGACCTTCAGTCTGTCTCTTTCGGGGTGGGACCCTCCTTATTCTCTTCTCAATAAAAACTAGCAATTGGTTCACTGTGTTCCCTCCTCTTCGCCCCCAGGGTAACTCTGGGAGCAAGGCTTGCTCCTCGGGCCCCCCTTCTGGGGCCTGCCTGGGAAAGGTTTCATAATCCCTCTGGAGTGAGTTTGCCTCTCCCTACCCCTGGGCAGCTCCTGGAGCATGCCTTGGTGTTCTTGGGGACCTACTATGCACCAAGTGCTTTGGAGGAATTAAAAGAAACTTAAGATAGCTTTCTGCCCTCAAGAAACATACACTAACCATCTATCTCAAGGGGTTAACATCTAGAATACACAGAGCACTCCTTTGCTTTGCCAACAGAAAGGCAATCCCATCAACAAATAGGCAAAGGACTTCAACCTCAGACATTTCTCTAAAGAAGATACACAAATGGCCAATGAGCACATGAAAGATGCTTAGCATCACTTACTTAGGGAAGTGYAAATAAAGCCACAATGAGATACCACTTCGCCCCCAAGAGGATCAATATCAACAACTCTAAGGTTTTAAAGAGCAGAAAATAACAAGTGTTGGTGAGAACCTGGAAAGGTTGGGATCCTGTGCTCTGCTCGTGGGATGCAGAACAGCACAGCTGCTGTGGGAAGAGGTGTATTCCTGAGGAATGGAAGCAGGATGTGACAGGGACACGTGTGCACCCCTGTTCACAAGAGCCAAAACGTGGAAGCAGCCCAAGTGTTAAGGTCATTGTTAAGGTCTGTAAATAAGTCAAAAATAACACCTGGTATTTTGCCAGAGGAATGTTGGAGTTCGTAAACAAGTCTGGATGGTGCCTGGCAAAATGCCAGAGGGAGTGGTTTGAGAAGTAACAAAAGCGAGCCATTAAGTGTGGAGATTCCTTATTGGTTGACTGATGTATCTAGTTTATGCTAATTAAGAAAAGCTGTGCAAAATGTATAAATATTGTTGTCCTACAATAAAGGGCTCCCACTCCTGCTGTATCAATCTACAGAAGTTGTTCGTCACCCCCCGGTTATTCTGCTGCAGCCGGACCCCGGCACCCAAGTGTTGCTGGGTACATGAACAAATACGCAAAATGGGGTCTGTACCCACAAGGGAATGTCATTCAGCCTCAGCAAGGAAATTCTGGTACCTTCCATGACATGGATGAACCTCGAGGGCATGGCACTGAAATAAGCCAGTCACCAAAGGCAGCACAGCACGGGTGTGATTCCATTTGTCTAGTGAAGGCAAATTCATAGACAAATAGAACAGTGGTTCCCATGGACCACRGGGACATGGAGTTGAATGTGCACAGAGTTTGAATAGTTCGGGAAGTTGAAAACAGTGCTGGGGACGGATGGTGGTGACAGCTGCATGACCGTGCGAAAGTTTTTCTTTAAAAAAAAGTGCTTAAAAGGGTAGATTTTATCTTCTGTATTTTTTACTCCCAAGATTTATATTTGAGTTGGGAAACACAATGTGCCAAGGATGTTCAACGACGGGAAGGCGGACTATGATGCCGTGTCAGGGAAGTGGCCCAGCAAACCTTCCTGTGCTGCACAACAGCAGGGCTCAGCCACAGGACCCGAGTCCATGGCCTGGACACAAGCTCTGTCTGCGGCAAACCAGCTGGGGGACTTGGGGGTTCACTGCACCAGGAAGACRCAGAGCTCCTTGTTCAACACTTGTCAAAATCTCAAGAGGATGACAGCAGAACATTAGGCAAAGCATGAGGCCCTTCTGAGCCAACTCGGGGCCTCACCTGGCAAAGGCCAGCCCTGCCCAGAAGAGCATGTGGCAAGGTGTCATGGTTACTTTTGTGGATTGACTTATAAGACTTTAGTATCAAATTATTTAACCAACTACCCCTCTACCTATTGCTGTGAAGGTATTTTGCAGTGGTGGCTGATCTTTATGATCAGTTGACCTTCAGTAAAAGCCCTGACCCTTCATGCTATGGGTGGGCCTCACACAATCAGTTGAAAGGCCTTCAAGACAAAAATTGAGATTTTTGAGAGAAAAAGGAATTTGGCCTCAAGACTATGCACAAACACCAGCCTCCAGAGCTTCTCTGCTGACTTGGATCCTGTGAAAGAACATGAGCCCCTGCTTGGAAATGAATCTCTTGACACAAATWTATACACTGGTTATTTTTATCTGGAGAACACTCCCTGATCCATAGGCTAAAAATTAGATTGATGAAACTTATAGAACAAAAAGAAAAGCAGGTTGAAAACTGCTTTGGAAATCATTAAGTCCAAGTCACCCCACTCATTCTACAGGAAACTGAGGAAACTGAGGTTCCAAGAGGTGGAAAAACTTGCCCAACATCACACAAGAAGCGAGAAAGACAGTTTCTCCAGACTTTTCAGCCCCATACCCCTGAATTTTACAGAGCTTACACTTTAAACTCTATGAATTTTACATTCTATCCCATAATATTGTTGTGTTTTAAAATTCTGAGTAATGTTCCATTTTCCAAATCTTGAAATGACATTTCTGGAAGGAGTGCCATGCCTGTCCTGTGGACTTCTGGCCACCCACGCCCGTCCCGGTGGAAGAAGTGTAGCTGGCACAAAGGCTGGAGAGGCTAAAACCTTGAGGTTCAGTGAAATCTCACACAATTCAATGTTCTGGAAAAAAGTCCTTCCAATTACCAGGGGAACTGGCTGCCCTTTTAGGTTCAGCCTTTCAATAAATGTGATCTATTCTTTGGTTGATTTGGGATCTCTGGATGTCTGAAGGCCATCTTTCCAGAAAATTCTCCTTCCGGAGTTCTTTAGACATTAAGCTGTGTGCGCTGAGCCCATGAGCTGGGCTCCGGAGGGCGCTGCTGCTCTATCTGGATTCTCTTTCGCTCCCCTTCTTCTGGCCTTGCCCGGCTCCCTCCCTAACTGGCTGACAGCTCTGCCCCCTGCTGGCGAACACTCTCCTCATCTCTAAGACTGGACTGCTAACTCAAGAAGCAGCATCCAAGAATTGGAAATGGAGCAGAGGATGAGGAACTGCGCACCCAGCCAGCGTGTGGTGCACCCAGACAGCAGGAGCTGCTCTCAAGGTTGAATTTGGGGTGGGAGGTCGCACCCCAAAGGGCAAAAGGAAACAGCAAATCCTGCCATTTGTGGCAGCTTCTCCTCTCCGGGTGGCCCTCTCATCCCTACCCTCTCCTAACTGAGAAAAAGAGGGGTCCAGGGGATGCAGCCACCTGACCACCGCTCAGAGGTCTCCCATCTGCAAAGACATAGGATATTTAAAGACCCAGGACAAATGCCCTTCACTTCACCAAGTGGTGACTCTGGAGAGGGGTAGCGCCAAGTTAGCAGAGTTGACCAGGCCACCTGCATGGGAGGGCCTGGAGGACAGAGAAGCGAAGAAAATTCTGAGCCTTGTATCAGGTCTTGTGACCTTGTGGTCAGCCAAAGCCCACCGTCAGTGGGGGCCACAGCTCAGTGGAAGGAAGRAAGGAATCCCTCTCTGATCGTTTAGTGGCAGACGCTGGAAGGGATTCAACGTTGTCCCTGGTGGTGGCTATCTGTGCCCAGGAGAAAATCAAGCTGCCAGACTCTGACCTGAACTGGCTGGGCCTGCCAGACCCAGCCCCAGGAAAGACACAGAGGGGGAGGAAACCCTGGGGTGGCACTGGGGGCTTGCTGAAAGGGAGAGTTCCCTAAGCCACCACTGGTTTTAAACTTAGAAGGGATGTCCCAGAGCCACCTGGAAGGAAGGTGTGACTCTGAGGCCTCCAGTTACTAGAAAAGAAACACAGGAAGGTGCTATCCCAATACTAGGAAGAAGAAACCAGAAAAACCACTCTGAGCACCTCACCCCCAGGCCAGAGTGTCCTTAAGGGGGACTCTGAACTACAGGAGGAGATGCAGCAAGTCCCTGAGCCTTGCTCCTTCAGCTGCGACTGGGGTTTTTTCCCTGGAATATTTCAGAGGTCAAGAGAGGACCAGGCATTTCAAAAAAATTCCAAAGTAGAGTCCCTAAATTTGGGGTGGTTTTGAATTTTGGCAGAGCTTCCCACCCACGGGATGCACTGACCCCCCCAGTGGGAGCCGGCGCAGTGCCAAAGGCGATTGCAGACACAGCTTACCAGCCGATTCCCTGTGTCCCCAACAGGCAAGTGGCTGCTGGTGGGACCCAGGTCAGAACCTAAGAGGAGCCTTGGCTTTGGTGTGGCTGCATGACTGCGACTTGGCACCCATGAAGTCAWTGGTGAAGATGTACGTGTCCTCGGGAGCGTCAGGCTGGAGTGAGAGKTCCCCTGTCCCCATCCCCATGATGTGCCTGAGGGCTGGGTGCTGGAGGCCAAGGTGAGGTTGTGGGAGTTGTCTGGTGTCAGTTGAAGGTCACAGCCTTTGTTCCGCTGGGCAATGGTGGCAGAGTGAGAGCAGGCAGCTCAGGGTGCTGTTCCTCCGCACGCCCTTTCCTGACTGAGCCCCCACCCGACCTCCAGACGGACCAGAACTGGCCTCAGACTGGGGACAGGGGCAGGACAGCTGTACAGCTCTGACACTGACCACTTGACCCGGCAATGTATAATCCAGGAGGACTGTGACCGAGGGTGATCACCAGATCAGTGTGTGGGAACAGCGGCAGAGAGCTCACTATAGTGATGGCCCGTTCCATTAACAATCTCTAAAGACCTGAGCATTTTTGCATCTTGTCTAGAGCTATTTCATACGTCCTGGGTTTGCCAGGCTCCTCCTTCCAGCTAAAATACACCTGGCCATGCCAGGTCCATGCAGGACACTGGAGTGGGAATCCCTGGGCAGCTAACAGGTGCCAGTGGGACCGTTGGCCTGTGTTCAGGTCACACCTGCGTTCGGTCCCAGCTCTCGCCCTTGCTGGCTAATAGCTTGCAAACAAATGGCCCCTGCCATTTCTACAGCTTCACTCSCAACGGCCTCTGCAGGCCTCCCCTTGTTTCCACCTCATGCTTAATTCTGAATAGCAACTTCTGGAACCAGTCTGCCCTGGTGCCAACTCACTTGAGGGCACCCGTAGGAAAACCTGCCCACCGTAGCCAGTGCCTKCTCACTCGATACCATCTCCAGCACATCCTTTTACTTCCTGTTAACTCCAGTTACTGGAACACTCGGTCTGCTTGAATCAATCTCACTTCCAAAGCCAAAGCCCTCCCCCTCCCCCATCAGACTGGCCCTTCTGTTGACCCCAGCCCTCCCTCCAGAGCTCTGCTTTGCTCACCCCTGGGCATCTGCCAGCTCCACCCTGGCCTGCTCCCTGCTCCCTGACAGTGAGGGATGGGCAACTCTGAGGTCCCTTCACCAGCTCTTTGGGCTGTGAGGAATTGGGGTGRGGGTGTTCCCACATCCTGCCCACATGACACTTCTCTGATGAAGGCCATGCTCTTTTGTAACATGTGGGAAATAACCCCTCCTCAAGGGTAATTGCTGGGACCTAATGGGACTACACAAAGCAGTTGGCCCTGGAGCCAGAGCCCTCTGGCTGGCCAGGTCATAGTTGCCGGGTGCTGGGCACTGCTGAGCCCTAGTGTYATTTCGCCTTCCAGTCGTCCGAGACTGTATCTTCTTACAGCTTTCTGGCAGATGATCGTCAAGTGTCAACCCAGGCTAACAGCAGATTGCCGTTCCAGGCAGACATCAAAGCCATCTCTCACAGATCACCAAGCCCTGTTCCCACTTTGGCACAAGAGTTCCTGGGCCCCAAACCAAGGGCTCATTATCCACAGCCCCCTCCCCAGATCTAGCTGCAYCTTATCCCCAAGCCTTGGTGGCCTCATGTTCTGCCTCAATCTTCCTAGTGCCTCAGGTTGGAACTTCTGTCGGGGATAGAGGGTCATCCAGGGATCCTTAAAACCAGGCCACTATGCAAAGGAGAAAAGAGGGGAGGCRCGGGGTCCCCGGGAAGCTAAATCAGCTGTGGGGCCTGCCTTTTAGGGTTTCAGTGTGAGAGTTGAAAGTAGGTGCATGAAGAAAAATCCCGAACACTGAATATAGTAACTGCCATAATCTAGCAACCCAACAACGGAAAAGATGAAGAAATTGTTCAAACATGCTCTGTGACATTAGCATATGTAATTTATAATTATGGTCATTTCAGCAAATCCCCTCTGACCTCATAACCCTAACCRTATACCATTAAGTGAACTGCACTGATCTTCCTCTGATTTCCCTTGAGAATAACCCTAAATATTAACCTGAGATGTGAGCTGAGCCTTACCACTTTGTTGCCCATGTGGCCAACCAAGGTACTTGACTGTGTCCTAAGGATATTCTAAGCCATGAATGTGCATGTGGACTTTGCCACAAGCCTGGCATGCAACCAGATTTTTTTTTTCCATGTGCAGCATATTTGATGGATAGAAGTCTGCAATTAGAGAACATTAATGAATGCACAGCTTGATACTTATGGATTGAGGTTTGTATCACGGTTAGTTAGCGCCCCCTTTTGGCAATATCATAAACTGCAGCTCAGTTAAATTTTAGGCTGAGCTGCAAATRAGTCTTCTAGACCTGAGCAGAGAAGTACCAGTGGCCCAGAGTAAGACAGAGGGACAGTGGCAGGAGAGTCCACAGTCAAGAAGGTGCCCATGTATTCCAAGTTCACAAAATAAGAAAATCGCCTCATTTGGTCTTCACAGACTATAGTTTTCATAAAGAAAATATCAATCATGTATTGAATACCCAGCAAGCCTTATCGCTACCCCCTCTTTACCTGATCTGGTTCTTAGTGTATTCCTTTGGGAGATCACCCGTGCCCCAGTTAGAATGCGCTGACAGTTTTATAACAATGGAAAAGATTCATGTTCCAGAGATTTCTTTTAGTTGGCTTGTGGCATATACCGGTTTTTCTCAAAGCAGGAACGTCTTGAACTGGCTCAACTTTGTCATCGTACATATCCCTTTGACTCTCCACTGTGTGATCATCCTGAGCCATTAGCCACTACTAACTGTTCCCATCTCTTCCTTTTTCCTTACCCCCCCCACCCTCGCAGCCCCACACCAAAATGAAGGAGTTGGGGGGTAGAGGACGGGAGTAGCACGAAGAGAACTTGGGGCACTCAGGTCACAAGGCAGCTTTATTGAATTAGTTGCATGCGGAAGCAGCTCTTCCCACAAGCAGCAAATACAGGCATTAGAGCATAAAATCCTGGAGAGGCCGGCGGGACTGGGGCCYAGTCACGGAGAGACATGCAGAGCTCTCTGGGGGGCTGYGGTTCGTCTCAGGGGAGCTGCACTCAGATGCCTCTGTTTATGGAAAAGCAACCCTCACATTCACTCCTCTCTGAAAAATAAAAGGGGAGTACGGGAAASGGTGGATTTTCACCAAGAAGCAGCCACCCACACCCACATTCTTATCCTCAGAGGAAAAATAAAATTCCCGGTGGTTTCCTGACTTTGTTCTGGGGCTCTGGTCACAAGCGTGGGCATTCTGCCCAGACTTTATACCCTGCCCCTTATCTCAACCCCCAGGGACATCTAGGGCTCTGCAGAGCCAAAAGAAAGGCCTGTCCACCTACCGGCTCTTCTTGCGGTATTCCTGCAATGCTTTCTCTGCCACAGTGTCCATAAATTTAGGGTTGTCTTTGGGGACCTCTGGGATTACCACAGTGATGGGGTCTGAGTCGAAGAGCTTCACAACCACCTCCGTGACACGGGAGGGGGCTTCTGAGTCGGAAATGTGGGAGGTCACCTAGACAGAATAAGAGAAAGAGAAGAGCCGTGTGTCACGGCCACAATGCCCACATTTTATAATGAGGCCTGTGATGCAGAAGCTCCAGCACACCTTCAAGAACACCTGAACGTCTGACAGGTTGCTTGTTACTAATACAGACATCTGTGCAACTCATCTGAACAGAAATGCCCGGATTCAYGCACGCCTTTGAAAGGACAAAGGCCATCTGCAAACGAACCACCTGCCCAATGGGCACCCAGAGGGTAAAAGTGTTTTCTAAGCACTTTTCTTAGTGCAGCYACTGGCCAGTCTGAGGTCACAAAAAGAATCAGAAAAACAAAAACAGGGTCTTCAACACTAGAGAGAAATTGTCACTGGCAGAGGACAATCAGCAACCACGATCCACTCCCCATGGCCCAGGACACCAAGCAGCTTTGAGAAAGAGTCCAGCCTTTGCAGCCAGGGCTAACTTGCCAGGGGAGTTGCCCATAGTCCTCCAGGCTGGGGCTAGCTCTGGGACCTGGCTCGCTCTCCTCCTCATGATATTCTGCCTCCCTGGCTGGGTCTTCAGTGCAGCACGGTACAGATGGGTCTCCTATTTCCTATGTGATAAATGCCCAATGAAAAACCTAAGTGYCCTCTGTAAATCTGTGTCCCATTTTTGGGCTCACATCACCTCCAGACCGTGTCTCAGGTCCCCCCGCATCAGCATGTGGCCAGGACACAACTCACGGTGGAGACCCGGAGATAGGCCTGGTCTTCGCTCTGGGTGAGATTGGCCAGTTGGGACAGCCAGCTGAACTGGTCGTTGAGCTGCTCCAGCAGGGAGGAGGTGTTGAACATCTTGCGCTGGTAGGAACGCAGCAGCTCGTTGTACCTCTGGGTCAACCTCTCAGCGATCTGGAGGGAGTCGTTGAGCTCCTGCCGCAGCTGAGCCTGGGCGGGGTTGTTGGTGGAGCAGTCTGTCCAGAGGGGGAAAAGCACAAGGCAGAAACGTGAAGGAAGGTTCAAAAGGGACAAAGATGCGAATGGAAACCGGCTCACACAGGCRGGAATGGCAGCGCACAGGATGTTTGTGAGGGTCCCCCAAAATAGAGTTCTCCCCAGAACAGGAATCAAGACCCTTGCTCCTTCATGAAGAAAGGCTTGCTCCAGGAAAAGATGTCAGCTGAACTAAACAGGGTGCTTAGTGGTGTGACTGATTCATCTCCTTGGCAACCGGTCACAGTGTSGAGCACTCTTGACGAAAATGGATCTCAAGTGCTCCACGTCCTCAGACCCAGTTCCTCGCAGGAGTCATTTCAGGAGAAAGGGGATTTTACTCACTCACATGGCTCCTGCTATGTACCAGATACCACATAAGGTGCTCTTTTCTCATTGTCTATGCATTCTGACTTAAGGATTAACATCCTACTTTACCAATCATGAAATTGAGGCCCACAGGAGTAAGACATTTGCTTAAAGCCATAGAAGAAATAATCTTCAGGGTCAGAGTCGAACTCGAGTGTTTAAATCTTCATCTTGGGCTCTTTACACTTGGTGTCTGGGGTTCTGGAACATCTCCAAGCTTCCCTTTTGGGCCTATCTGCAGAGTTGGCAATTCTGGTTCTCAAAAGCCCATGCAGCACAGGGCTGTCCAGGACCTTAGGCCACCAAGCAGAGCAGGCTGGTGGCTGGGAATCCTTGCCTGCCCCTGTCCACTAAGGCTGGTCACCAAGCTCAAGAGAACAGGGAAGACATAATCCATTCCTTTTGGTCAAGTGTCACTGCAGGTTTTCAGATCTAAATGCTACCCATTATCTTTTTCTCCCCCTAAATTATTTCAAAAATATCCAGAAGAGGGTACTTCAAACCTAAGAGAATCAAGGGAMAGGAGATCTCTGCTTCTGATGGCACCTTGCAATCATTGATAATTTAAAAAAAAAAAATGTCAGGTGGGACAAGAAGTAGCATTAATGTCAAGAAGGTGGTTGAAAGGGAATGTGTGATGAGCAACTTTCACTCTCTTATCAGGAAATAATTAAAAATAAGAAAAGTTCTCCAGAGCCGAGACTCTGCCTGGAACAGTAATTCTCCACTAGGGAAGAGGCAGCCTCCCAGGGGACACTTGGCAATTCTGAAGACGCTGCTGGCTATCACAGCTGGTAGGGGAGGTTGCTACTGACATCTAGTGGACAAAAGCCAGGGATGATGCTGAACTCCCTGCAACACACAGGACAGCCTCCAGGACAGAGAACCGTCCAGTCCAAAAGGTCAGCAGGCTGAAACTGAGAAATCCTGGGCCAGTGTCCCCAGGCAGTACAGCTTAGATACTTCAAAGTACCTTGAATAAAAAGCAGTAGGTCTTCCCCAAGCCAAAAAAGGGGGTCTATTGAGTTCAGTTGATAGGTGCACGAGGTCCGATCTGAGTCTAGGCCCTAAGGTGACAGCTCTCTGCCATTCTATGATATTTTTATGGGAAAAGCTCAGAAGCATGGTCATGTATGTATCTACAGCTTCTTTRCACTCTAGCCCCTGAAAGCACTATTATTTATTTTGCTTCTAAACTCACAGGAGCAAGGCTGGGAATAACCAGACTGTAAAGGCCTGGCAAACCAAATCAAATTAAGTAAGAGCAAAGCCACAGAAGGATAAGCTACCTACCAGGAGAAAGTCAGCTCATTCTGAGCAGGGAAACTGCTTACTAAGGACTTTCATAGCTGTTATCTCAAAGTAGGGAGAATTTCATTAATAGCCAGACCTGATTAAATGGAGAGAAACAGTTGAAGGGAAACCTTTCCTTTGCCTGGGGAAGTGATGGACAAAAGGAAATGAAAAGTGCCACCATGGAGGTGGACGAGGTCCCTAGGGCCCCCAGGGAGAAAACCCAGGGTGCTGATTGCCAACACAGCCCAACCCCCAGCTGGCCTGTGGAGGGGGTCACACAGTCTTAGATAAGTGACTCAGCCTTCCTGTGACTGCGCTTGCTCCTCTGCAAGGTGGGGACGAGAACTGTACCCAACTTATCAGGTCGTCCTGAGGACATGAGTAAACAGCGGTAGAGTTTAGAACAGTACCTGCCACGTGGGAGCGTCGGTCAAACAAAACACACGCTGCCTACAATTTCATAATGTGCCGTGGAAAACGAATATGGCCAGCACCCTGGAACCTGGGGGCACAGCTGGGGAGGTCAGAGGGGGAGGGCTTTCTTTCACAAACCTTGGCGGCACCCACCGCGGGCTGCCTCTTTACCACGGCCTGCCCGGGGAGGGGCACCTTACATCTGTCTCAGAATAATCTGAATCTTCAACCTTTGAGGGCACCAGGATACTCAAGGCTGAGCACCTGCCCTGGGGTCACAGCTCAGAGGCACAAAGCTGGAATCTGGAAAAAGGCCACCCCACGAGGCCACAAGGAACTAGGACACAGTGATGACAGGGAAAGCTGGCGCTCTGACCCATACTCACCCACAGACAAGATCTCCTGRCACTTGTCACACCGGTCCTTCATCTTCAGGCATCCTGTGGAGTTGTGGCGGATCTCCTTGCACACGGCCTTCTGGTCATCCTCACCTTCTGCGGACGCGTGAGGGAAGAAAGAGGCTGAGGCGCTCGGCCACACAGGGCAGGCCCCACCGATTTCTCAGCCCCCTTCTACAAAACTGTGTGGCCCTTTGAGATCCTGTGGTCAGAGCAGGTTGCGACTTGGTTGTCCGCCCACACACATGGCGTCTGCTTGGGGTTCCTGCAGAGGCACCTGTGGGCCCCTGTCCAGGCAACTGCCTCCCCTCCCATTGGAGAGACCCCTCTTGTCCCCACACTCCTCTGCAGAAGGCAACTTGCTCTGCACCCTCCCTGGCTCCTGCTCTCCTGCTGGCTGGTCAGCAGGGCTCTGGAAGGAAGGGGTGCATCCTCCTCAGAGCCTCCTGACCCCACAACTTCCACCCCGATGGAGCTGCAGGAGGCGCTTGTTCAGCGCCAGGCCCTCCGGCACTTTCGTGCTTTTCGGGCCAAACCCCAGTGCCGAACCCTACAGAAGAGGGCGCAGCGTGGCCAACAGAGCCTTGATGAAGGACATCTACTCCTGTCCACATCACCCCTCACTCTGCACTGCACCCTCATTCTGAACCAGGCCCCCTGGTCACAGCCATGAACCCCTTCCTTAAGGGTGATGTGGCCGTGACGTAGTTCCCTGCCAAGAAGGTGTGGCCCCACACCAAGCCCCCTAAATTCACGAGGGAAAGAGGCTCCAATCCCGTAGGAAGGACGGGCAGTGCCACGCAGAGCAGCAGCTGGTTGGCTTTTGAAATAACACCCCAGCCCCTGCGGAACTACATGGGGGGACCCCACTGTCGGCCCTGAAACCTCATGCACTCCTTTACCTCTTCCTCTTTAAATGGGTTAACGCCACCCTCCGGGGTGGCTGGGAAACAGGGGGGTGAACACATCTCGTGGGCTCCCATCCCTCCTCGGAAGACAGGGACCTTTCTGACCTCTTATGAAGTCCACGCTCGGGGACTGGGAGCCTAGGCCGTGGAACGGGGCGTCCATGGCCTGTTGAGCCTGGTGTATCATTTCGAAGAAGGGCTGGAACAGGTCCTGGAAGCCCAGATGCCCGTAGGGGGAGAGAGGCAAGATGCTGCGGGCGAGGCGGGACTTGTGATAGAGGAAGTGGGGCCTCCTGTGCGGGAAGCCGAAGGGCGAGAAGTAGCGGGTGTCCTGGGGCTCGTGGGTGAAGAAGCTGTCCTGGAACAGCGTGTCCATGATCCCGGAGGACCTGGTGAAGCTGTCCTGCATGGCATCCAGGATGTGGTTCTGCTTACGGTCGCTCTCCAGCAGGGAGTCGATGCGGTCGCCGTTCATCCAGATGTAGAAGGGCGAGCTCTGGTTCAGGAACTCCTCCAGCTGGGTGGCCAGACGGCTCAGTGAGGAGGGGCCTCTCACGGCACAGGCACACAGCAGGTGACTGAAGGGCCCAGACCACCCACTCCACCCCCACCAGGCCCTGAGGTGCACAAATCCCCTAGAGTTGATGAGAGGGGCCCCCTGTCACTTGCGGCCTTTAAGGACACTGACCCAGCTGCTCGGCTGCTCAGCATTCAGGGAACAACAAAATTCACTTGAGTCCCAACCAAGAGAGGCCCATAGGCAAGGCCCAGGGATTCAATATGAATGCACTAAAAAATGTTTTAGTTTCCTCCGTGGGCGCAGGACTCCGCCATGCCACGAAGCCGTTTGTTGTTATCCAGCTAATCCTTGCTGGGTAAAGGTCTTTGGAGGGAGGCACACACCTGACACACGTTAGTGACAACTGCCATGTCCACACTCACATGAACAGTCATGACTGACAATCACAGTCAATCATGGCATGGGGTCGGGGTGCAACCGGCCAGTRCTAACCAACAGCACCGGATGTGGAATGAAGTGTATTGTACTAGGTTCTCCTCACTCCCCACTCAAAGCCTAAACMACACCCTTTTCACCTGGTGGCCAACTAAGCCCGAGCCGCTTCTGCACACGCGTGCGTAGAACTTCATGCAGGTCTGCTTCAGGCAGGGCTTACACTCTTCCCAGAGGGCCATCATGGTCTCGTTGCACACTCCCGGGATTGCCTTCAGCTTCATTTCAGAGTCCCTGGTCTCATCCAGGGCATCCTACAGGGAGACAGGAGGCCAGGTGTGCCACAGAGGCCACACTTCACCCCTCCACTGCACTCCGGCTGGGTGCCTGGCCCTCCCCACCTGCAGGACTTCCCATGGTCTGATCACCRGATGTGCTTATTTCCTCCCCTGCACCAACCCTTGATCCCACATTTAGCCACCTGGAATGCTCTTCCCACTTGGCCTCCCATAGCCTCTCCTCCCTGGAGGCCCAGCCGACCTCTAGAACTCAAAAGTTCTGACTTACTGCTGGGGCAGTTTCTACCCCAATTTACTTCTCACTTATACCTCATTTGCTATATAATCCCATAAGAGTGTATCCCAAGGAATTTTCAAAATAAAGAAAAAAATCTTTACATAGGYATATATCATTGCATATATTTTATATACGTGGAAAATAGTCTGGGGGTCCATTTTCAGAATCTAGAATTCAGCCTTAATTGGATCCAATGCCCGCACTAATTCTAAAATCAGCCAGTCACATAGATGGTAACCCCAGACCCCTCCAATAAGAGTGCAGGGAGGCACTGTGTTAGGTTAGAGATACAAACAGACCGAATGCCCACCTGGGCACTCTTGTTAGCCAGGTTTCCCTAGCACCCCCTTAGGTGGGAGTGAAGGTCTGCCTTGCCCACCCACTTTCCACAGTGCATTTCGATTTCCTGCAGCACCCTGTTGTTCTAATGTATACACACATCAGAAACAGTCCAGATGCTCAAAAGCAGAGTACAAGTTAAACAAATCATAGAACAGTAATCCACTCATCAGTTTCAGATATCCAAGGTCAACCTACTGCAGTCCAAAAATACTACAAAAGCACCACGAAGAGTTAAGATGTTTTGAGAGACTGCATTCATACTTTTGCTACCATAAGTTGTTCTAATTATTCTACATTACCATATGTTGTTATAATTGTTRTTGTTAGCCTCTTATGGCACTTAATTTATGGATTAAATTTTATCAGAGGTATGTATGCACAAGAAAAAACAGTATCTACAGGTTTGGTGGTGTCCTTGATTTCAGACATTCACTGTGGTCTTGGAACATATCCTCTGTGGGTAAGTGGGGAGACTACTTACCATATGTACCAAAGGGTAACAAATACATCATTCATTACAAGGCTTATTTATAAGTTTTAAGTATTATAGTAAGCATTTTTATTTTACAAATTCATAATCTTGAATACAATCATTGTGGGGAGAAATATAGAGGAAAAAAAGCAGGAAGAAATAGATCAGATGTTAACAATGACTCCCTGCTCCCAACCCCCAACTCAGAACCTATTTGGAGCCTGCACATGGTCAGGGTTTAGAAAAATCTATTGAAATGAATCTGGGCATCAAGCCCTGAGCCAGGCATGGAACAAAACAAGATCCAAGATTTCACCCCCAAGAGTCTTTGAAAAGCAAATAAACTTTCCCCATTTCTTCACTACAGTCCCAGCATCAGGTGACACAGCCCAGGAAGGACTGTGGGTCACCATGGCAACCCAGCAAGGCACCCCACTGAGTCCCTCCCCTCCCTGCCAGCAGGGAGGGCCCAGACACAGGTGTAAGCTCATCCTTACCTCTTTCTTTCTTTCTTTCTTTCTTTTTTTAATTATTTCTTTATATATGACAGCAGAATGCATTACAATTCATATTACACATATAGAGCACAATTTTCCATATCTCTGGTTGTATACACAGTATATTCACACCAATTTCTGTCTTCATACATGTACTTTGGATAATGATGTCCATCACATTCCACCATCATTTCTAACTCCATGCCCCCTCTCTTCCCCTCCCAGCCCTCTACCCTATCTAGAGTTGTTCTATTCCTCCCATGCTCCCCTTCCCTACACCACTATGAATCAGCCTCCTTATATCAGAACATTTGTTTTTTGGGGATTGGCTAACTTCACTTAGCATTATCTTCTCCAACTCCATCCATTTACCTGCAAATGCCATGATTTTATTTTCTTTTATTGCTGAGTAAAATTCCATTGTGTATATTTGCCACATTTTTTTATCCATTCATTTACTGAAGGGCAACTAGACTGGTTCCGCAGTTTAGCTATTGTGAATTGTGCAGCTGGATCAAATGGTGGTTCCATTCCCAGATTCCAAGGAATCTCCATACTGCTTTCCAGATTGGCTGTACCAATTTGCAGTCCCACCAGCAATGTATGAGTGTGCCTTTTTCCCCACATCCTCGCCAACACTTATTGTTGTTTGTATTCTGCCATTCTGATGGAAGTGAGATGAGATAATTTTTACTCCTCACACATCAGATAGAGCACTAATCTCTAGGGTATACAAAGAACTCAAAAACCTTAACACTAAAAAACAAATAACCCAATCAATAAATGGGCCAAGGACCTGAACAGACACTTCTCAGAAGAGGATMTACCATCAATCAACAAACATGAGAAAATGYTCATCCTCTCTGGCAATCAGAGACATGCAAACCCTTACCTCTTTCTTCTTCTTGGCCTCCTCTAAGGTGTCAAGCAGCGACTTGCGTTCCTCATTTGTTTTCTCTATCAGAGACTTTATCTCCTTCACCCCCTTGACAGCATTTTGGATTTCCTTATTAATGTACTTACTCCCCTGGGTGGACATCTCTACAAGAGAAAGGCAGGAGGCAGGACGGGCAAGATGAGATCAGGTTGGGGTGACAATCCCAGAACCAGATAGGATGGTCAGAAAAGTCTGTTTGGCCCAGAGACTGTCAAAGCTGGGACTCCGCCCTCACCCTGGGGAGGTAGCACACAGCCTTGCCTAGCAGGACACAGGTGCCCATCACAGGGGTCCTGGGTGGTTCTACCCAACTGCTCGGAGATGCAAACCTCAGGAGCAGCACGTCTCAGAGAAGCACTACGCCTTCCCACTGTCACACCACCTCGGGGAACCCACAGCCCTCAAGATAGAATATACCGTTATTTTGGCTACAAATCTTTTCTGGAATTCTGTTTAACCAAATATTTGTACTTCTTTATTCCAATGCAGAGTGGCAGGTGACAGGGACAAGAATATGAATGAGTGGCACTGTCACCAAGGAGACTGCTTATCCTGTGCCACATTCTCTTTACCTACTACTCCCAACASATGATCATGCCCACCAGATGGGAAAAGATGGGGACAGGGAGGTTTAGGGCCCATGGGCACACCATGTCCAACATGTAGGATGAACAAGTCCTGAAGGTCCATTTACAGATGCCCACAGTTAGTAACACCAGATACCATACTTGGGGTTTTCTTTAGGAAGTAGATCTGTGTGTTCTCACCACAGAAGTAAAAGGTAACTAGGGAAGGTGATGCACATGCTACTTAGCTTGTAGAATGTACATGTATTTCAAAGCATCGGTGTGTGCTGTGATATATAATTTTTCTGGTCAATTATACCTCAAGCTAGGATGGGAAAGAAGCAGAGTCATGAGATCAAGATAGTAGCCCAGGATCTACAGCCAGGGAGTGGCAGGGCAGACGCACACCCAGGTCTCATCTCCAAATCTGGGGTTTTAGCCACGACCCCGCAGAACTGGTCCGCTAGGAAGAGGGGGGTGGGCGACAGGAGAAGGGGTTTCTGGAAGGGGCTCAGGAAAGAGAAGACTGCAACGGCCAAGCACTCACGCTGAACAGCACTGTCCCTTCCCTGTCCTGTGAGTGGAGAATGTGGAGCCTGGTTTCTTTTGGACAGGTGAGGACCCATGGGCAGCAGCCCCATCACCATGCCTCAAATGGCCAGGCACAGTTTGGGGAAGAACCATGGGAGCCAGTAGGGGGACAGGGAAGGGAGTGGCTGAATAAAATGCCAAGGGCTTGGGAAATGCAGACCAGTGCCCAGAAGACACCTGACCACAAAGAGCCTCAGCTCCAGGGGCAGGGCATGGATGGTCGGAGAGGGTTGGACAGAGAAATGCAGACTTGGGTACAAGATGAAAATGGCCTTCAGCACTTGGGACTGCAGAGAGGGCACGTGAGCTTGTGCAGCAGCCCTGCCCAAAGCCCAGTTTTACTTGCCCTGGAGCTCCTGGTTGGAGACCAGCGGCTCTCCCAGGACCTGTCCGTCGCCCCAGGTCAGCAGCAGCCCCACACACAGCAGCAGAGTCTTCATGGCGCCGCCTTCTCTGATTCTGGAATCCTAGCACGCTCTGTTTAGAGAGAAGGGGAAGCCATCAAGGGAACAGCTGGGCCACCTGTTGGCTTCCTGCCCAGCTCACTGCCTGCTGCAGCTTCCAGGAACTTGGGGACATGTGGCCCTCAGCCGTCCCCTCAGCTGGCATTACTGCAGTTTTATCCCTGAGGAACTTCGGAGGACAGACCAGACCTGCCACTGACACCTTCAAAAGAAAACGAAGGCAGGAGATACACTGAGGGTGCAGACTCATGGAATCAGAGCRGCTGGGCTCCCCGCCAAACTTCCTCCTCCCACTAAGCAGGGCACACAGGCTTCCTGCACTGGGTCTCCTTGTCCAGAAAGGGCATCTAGGTATCAAACACTGAAAACAGGTCCCTTGGATCACTCATCTGTCCCTTCCCTGTTCCTCCTCACTTACTCACAGCAGACATTACCAATCAATCACCACTCTGTTCCCCTCAGAGCCCCAGCACCACCTGAAGGTGCTTTATAAGAGTCTGAGACATGAGCATCCGCCCCCTTAGGTTGGCACAGGAAGTTAAAGCCATTGGCCATCCTTAGTGTGAGACTTCAGGCAGGCTGCCTGTGGATTCCGAGGTATCCATCATGAGCACAGCAGAGAASGGAGGGCCATCCAAGGGAGAGCGAGGGCAGAGTGAAGGCAGGGAAGGGCCAAGTGAAGGGTTAACCATGAGCCCAAAGAGCAGGTTCCCCAGAAAAGTCCCTTCAGGAGGACGTGCTCCTTGGCTCTGCCAAGTCCTTTTCAACCAGCCCATTCCCTCCAAGCTGGCACCAGTGTGCCCTGCCAAGGMACCCCTGCCACCATTGGGCCAGTTGCCCTGAGCCAGGGGACACRGGCCACAACCTGGGTCTTACACAATGGTCCCTTTCCTAGCAGCTAAAGTTGTTGCATAAGACAACTCCCCCTGCGCCCTCGATCCCCGGCTCTGTGGCTTATCTGGGCTCACCGATTTCCCATGCCACTCGGGTTCACATCTAAAACCTGCTCTCRGCAGGCCCATCTGGACACTGGGTAGATCATTAATAAGACAAGTCTCTCCTGACGCAATTAGACGCAGAGCAGGCGGCAGCGTGGGAGTGAGCGCGGGTCAGCGCCTTCCCCAACCATGGGGTGGGTGGCTGAGCTGGGCAGGACTTCAGGCCCACCAGGAAGGATCTGGTCTCATAGATTGTGCTCAGTGAGGCCTGGAATGCCTCCGGCAGGGACAGAGCCTTTGTCACACAAGAGAGATAATGCTAGCCAGAAACCCCTCTCCCAGAGGGCAACCCCTCACACCCCCACCCCTGCCGGAGCAACAACTTCTGGCAAATTCATCCAAAATGGTCAGAAACAGGTTCTCACCCAAGGGCAGGGCGGTGGACCCTGAAGAGAGAGGGGAGAGGGCAGTCAAAGCAGAGAATAGGATGGAGGTGCTGGAGGTGAGCAGCTGGCACGGGGTCTGTCCAGGAGCCATCAAGCTCAGAGCTAAGAAAGGGGTCACTCTCCAACCCAGCCTCTCCACCTTCAGGGGCCGGGCCAGAGCCCAGAGACAGGTGGGGCTCCTGGGTCCCACAGCAAGCTKGTGGCAACCCAGGGTAAGAACCCAGTCCTCCCAACTATGGACCCAGTATCTTTTCCTTGATACCAAGTCACTTCAATCTCTGAGCCTCTGGACCTAACAAGAGTTTACTGATGTAATACCTTCTATAAACCCAAGGGTCTGATATAATCATTGTATATTCCGACTGCTTTCAAACCTGACTGAGGGTCTATCCTGGGTATTGGCAACCTCTAACTGGCATTTCTGGAGAGGGGCAAAGGACTGAAGCAGRCCCACAGGCCACCTATGGTCCTCTGACTCTGGTTTAGCCTTAAGGAAATGATGGGTTACTTTCCCAGGGTCTTGTGATAATGCTTATTTTGAGTCAGCATCTGCTTTTCTCCAAAACTAGGCACCTCTTGGATACTGCTGGTCCAAGGGGAGCAGGAGAATGAGGGCCAAAGCCCAATGCCCTCCCTCTAAATGAACTCTCTCCTCATCCCCTTCAGGGCTGCAGTCCTGCCAAAGTCAAGGACCTCCTTCCCCAGCACTGCACCACAGTCTCTTCCCTTGTGGTATTTTCCCTCCATGTTTGTTTGTTTGTTTGTTTYGGTACCAGGGATTGAACCCACTGAGCCACATCCCCACCCMTTAAGACAGGGTCTCACTAAGTTGCTGAGGCTGACTTTGAACGGGCGATTCTCCTGCCTCAGTCTCTGAAGCTGCTGGGATTACAGGTGTGCACCACCATGCCTGGCTCCTCCCTTTTGTATGCATTTTTATACCATAAGATTCTTTGCAATCCCTGTCTTCAAGTCTTCTTTAGAGGCACACTTTTGTGGGTGCATCCTCTTGAGCATYCTTTTATAGTACTGTACTTACTCTTAAATTCCTAATCTCTCCCTTCTTAAAAAAAAAAAAAAAAAAATCAGCAGCAGCAGCCACAACTTCCCTCCTTCCCCCCACCCCACTAGGTCCAGGAATTCTGGAAGGCTAAGAGGCTTCAGTTCTTTTCCCAACCTGACACTTTATCACTGGAGACAGACCTCCCAAAGCCTCCCCAGACCTCAGATTACCATCTATAAAACGAGACGGTGGAATCAGACGTCTGAGGCCTGATGGAGATTTCCTCTAGTGCACCTTAGGTGCATAAGGAAACAGAAAAATTAGGATTTAGGTGACTGCAGCATATACTTATATCCACAACGTCGTACTTACAAARCGCTCTCCGGAGAACTAGAAAATAGGAGAAAACAAGATGACTCAGCCTGCAACCGAGATGAACACCTTCACTGCGCCGCGGGAAGCGCCCACACGCAGGCAGCGCCGCCACGCCCCTGTACCTCCCACAAGGCGCAGCAGCCTCCAAGCCTCAGTTTCCCCGATTTTGCAAAAGGAGGATTTTACATATGACCGATTTACCGCTACAAAATTTGTGGTTAGAGCTCATGCGCACAGGGACTCCAGAGTCTCGCCAGTGCACCGCCTACCCAATCGGCCTGCGGTTCAACTGCCTGGCGACAGGGCTCTGGCCACCTCCCGGTGGGGTCCCCTGGGAGCTCTGTCTAAAGGTCGGGGCTATGGAGTTGTCATCTCTCTCCACCTCCACCTGGCTGCTATCCCCGCCCTCCCATCGACCCCCTACGTCCCTGCGCTGGGGTAGGAAAGATGGGGACAGCTTACGCTTACCCGTCAGCTGCGCCAGCTCCCGTGCGCTCCTCCTAGCGACGCCGGGCGGTGAGCACCGCGAGACGCCGTATTTATAGCGCTCGGGCTCGCGTACACCCCCTTTGGGGCTGGCTGCAAACCTGCATGACTCACGCCCAAAGAATGCCATGGAATGCGCGGGGAGCTTTCTGGAAGCGGGGAGGGGGGGCGGTGCAGCACTCGGCAGGGGGCACCGGAGGGCGCGTCAGCACCGCGAATGACCGCGCCAGTTCTAGGGGACACCCTGGGACTCGCTCTGCCTCAGGTGTTTCAGAGGCTCGGAGCCTGGGCGCACCCCAGTAGGGAAGTGCTTGAGGGGTGCCCCAATCCACAGGGTTAGAAGGGTCCATTCTATGCTGGCCGGTACCCAGTCCAAAATACAATCTCACAGTCCCCCAGCCCCATTGAATGTTAATCTTTCACATTAAACACGCTCCACTTCTCCTGTTCTATTTAAATATGAAAGTGTCAGAAATAATGAGGGTAAGATGGAGAGAGGCGTTGTGCTTGGGAAGAGAATACATTAAGTGTTTGAAATCGGTTAAAGGATGAGCAGAGCATCTATTTGGGGAGACAGAAAGTCTCCCTGGACTCCTAAATCCATGGAGCTTAAGCAATTATTGTCCCCTTTCACTTGGAACTCAGCCAAGCAGGCTGGGCTCCAGTGCTGGCACGGCACTAGTGCAGCCCCAGTTTAGAGTTCTACGTTTGCAGACTTGAAATTCTCATGCTCTCTGAACAAGGGCCTGGCATGTTTGTTTTGCACTGGGACCCATGTACAGAGTCATCCTCAACTGGCTTCTGCTGAGAGCAGGTGCATCTCCTGTCCCAGGAATCTGCACCCCCACCACCACCAGAAGGGAAGAAACTGTCCAGGAGTCCCAAAGGTGCTGATACTTCTTAGGAAAGAAGCAGAGCTGTCCACTCTGGACTCTGGGACATTGGAGTTTGAGTAGAGGGGGCAAGGGCTGGCTTTGCTCTCAGGCTGGTGGGAAGACGGATGGAGCATGTACAGGCACCCTGGTTTGGGGTGGTTGATTTTGAAATAAAAAGCTTAAAGAGCTGTGTGGTCAGGGGCTGAGTTTCCTCTTCATGTCTGTGGAGGCTCAGCCTTAAGGTTGTTTCTGGTTCCCCCAGAGGGGAAATCCTGGGCTGCAGTCACAGCCCTGCCTCCAGGGTGACTTGGACACYTTAGCCTTGCCCTTGGGCCCAGTGTCTTCTATCTGGACAAGAAATCTAGAATGTATCCTCTCTTAATCCTCCCTCTACCTGATACAATGCCAAGTGCAAGATCACCCATCCAGAAGGGAAAAAGGCAGCAAGAACTGGAGCAGTATTTGCCCCCAAGAAGAGGCTTCACTTTGTTTTCCTTTACAAACAAGTTGAATTATCAGCAACAGCTACATTTTCTGTGGGAACTGCCTCCTCTTTGGCATATCAGTACCTGGGGTCACAAGAACTGTTTTTGCGCTCACTCCTTGTAACTTTTCTGTTCTGTAGTTCCCCCAGCATCCTATACAGGAAGCATAGATCTTCGATAGTTTTATTTTTAAAAACTGGACTTTGGAGGTCAGGCAGGGAGATCTGCTTAGTCAGCTGACTAAGAGAAAGGGAGGAGGGGAAGAAAGGATTTGGAAGAAGATAGCATGATTCACAGCCATGACTGGGACCCCTGGGAATGCTTACTTGATTTTTCCAGCTCCTAAACAAACAAGGTTGGGAAGATTAAATTTCAAGAAAAAAAAGTGCAAATTTTGAAGGCACCATAATGCATCACCAGATCCTTAACATTCTAAGGAGACTGCAGAGTCCTAGTCCATCCCTACACCCACCTGGACATCCCCACCAGATGGTCATCCTGCTTCTGTTTGAATGCCACGAATAACTGGGAGCTCACTACCTGCAATGTAACCATTTCTCTAGGAAAGCTTTTAATAGGTTAGGACATCTCTTGTTGAGGCCCAGCCTCCTTCCTCCTGTGAAAGCTATCCTGAGCCCAGAAACCACACTGGGAAAATCCAACCCATCTTTCCCTCAGTGGCCTCCTGGTATTTGAAGATAGTTAGTCGGCTCTCCCAGTGACCTCAGGCTGGGAGCTCCTCATCAAGAGTCTTCAGACTCTTCCTTAGCCCCTGGGCTTTTTGGACCTTGCTTCTCTTGAAACACTGGAACCCAGCACTGAGCCTGCCAATGCCAGAAGCGGCCTGGGCACAGAGCAGAAAAAGGCCACTCTTTCTCTTGCTCTAAACACTGCAAATAAGCTTTTATCTAGATGCTGAGTCACTTGGCTGATTCATGTAGAATGCATTATTTTGGCAGGTGCTGCTGGCTATGCACTGCTGTCCCCTGGGGAACTTATATGGCTGGTTTGGGGCTGGCAGGGGGATGATGGGTAGGGATTTGGTAGGGACGCGCTCTTTTTATCTCTTTATCTCTTTATTCTTTGCCCACTATCTTTGGCTGCCCAGATGTCTTTGAGCCAGATCTGCTGTGCAGTGTCCTTGTTATGCACCCCACATCCCAGCTATTACCCAGCTCAGCACCACCAGCGTGCAGCTCAGCCACCATGGATATAGCTAGAACAAACTAGAAATGAACAAGAGCAGTTTCCTATGGCCTGCATGAAGAGTCACTTTCTAAGCCAGGCACAGTGGTGCCCACCTGTAATCCCAGCCACCCGGGAGGCTGAAGCAGGACCACAAGTTTGAGGCCAGCCTGGAGAATTTAGCAAGATGCTATCTCAACATAAAAAATAAAAAGGGCTGGAGGTGTAGCTCAGTATGAGAAGCCCTAAGTCCCATTCCCAGTAATATTTAAAAAACAAAAATCACTTTCTGAGCTGCAATTATTTAATGAGTACCTTCAGTCAATTAGAGGCCCACAATAAAATCATGGATAATAAAACATACGCAGTAAAACCAGACCACAACTGATGCAGAGGCATCCCGAGTGCTTTTTCTGGCTCTCCCTAAAACTCATCAGTTGGTCATCTCCATTTCCCCCTTTAGGATCTTTTTTTTTTTTAAATATTTTTTAGTTGTAGGTGGACACAATACCTTTATTTTTATTTATTTATTTTTATGTGGTGCTGAGGATCGAACCCAGGGCCTCGCACATGCTAGGCAAGCGCTCTACCACTGAGCCACAACCCCAGCCCCCCCTTTAGGATCTTTTGAGGAAAAGGTTTGAGGCTGGTCAATCCTGAGTTGTTCTTCCTGTACTTGGAAATAGACAAACATTCCCCCTACTTTACTATTAGAGACTGGTTATGTGATCTGTATTTCACTTCGAAGTTACTCAACTCCTTTAGCTCCAATTGTTAGGTTAAGGATCCTTGAAAAAAAAATGGCCCCAGATTTACTTTGAGTCAAACATACTCTTTCCACAACCACCTAGAATCCAACTAATTATTATTTCAGTTGAGTGGTTGTCTATGGAACCATATAATAGCTACACAGTGGAATCCCACCTCCAGAGGTTATGATTGATTAATCTGCAGGCAGCATCAGAGTTTTTAAACTCTCCAAGAAAAGCAGCCAAAGTTCAGGAGCACTGCTCCCAAGTTTACAAATCGCTGGTGTAGGCTTTCCCACCCCATCCTCACTGCACCTCGGTGTCACTGTTGGAGCAAGTGCTGTTAGTCCCGTTTTATAGAAGCACAGGAGGGAGGCCCAGAGGAACCCTTGACTGTTTTGCCTGCCCTGAGCTGAAGTCTGCCTCCTTACACCTTCTTTGTCCTTTATCTTATTTCTAAGGCAGCATCTGTGTTATCCTCTCCTCTGTAAGACACATCTCCCAACATTTGGAAACCAAAATTATATTTTACCTTAAGTGTGTCTTTGTGCAAATCCCGGACCCCTTCTCATAGAGCAAGGTTGCCAGATGTCTCTCTCATTTCCACCCTAAAGATACTTTGTTGGTCATTCGTTGTCTCCCTTGTGTGGTTTCAGACACCAACTCTGGCTGGCCAGGTGATCTGACTGGTTCTCTGTGTCCACACGGTACTCTCTGTTTACTTTTGTGCAATCCTGTAATATGCTGTGCTTCTCAAATTGTTTTAAGCTGACCTCTGGATCAGGTTGAGGTACTAAGAACACCCAAAGACACAGAACACGCTGGCTCTGGGTTTCCTCCAAGATTTAGGGAGAAAGGTGGATAGGTAGTGAATGATCAATCTTCTCTTTACCTGCCCCATTTTCAATTCCTTTCTAAATCTCATGCTTCTAGAGCAATGGATGTCTGCATACTGGGAATATGTGTATGTGTATATTAACAAGCAAATATATATACATAAATAATGGATTTTTGCCTTTTTTTTTCTTCTACTTATAGACAGTAAGTCACACGACACACATCCTTCTGCAACTTATTCTTTTCCACTTCATAAAATATCATGGACATCCCTCCACAGCAGTGCACAGAAAGACCTAACTCATGCCTTTCAGCAGCTGCGTCATATTACACGGGGAGGCTAAACGTATTTTATCCAGCTGTCTCCCTGGTCTAACTTCCTGCTGTTTCTCTAAGCAGCTGTCTGGAGGCGTCCTCAGTCTTGTGGGTGCCTTTATTGCTCTGTTTAAGGTAAATCCAGAGCACTGCATAAAAGAGATGGCTGTTCCTGAGTTCAGCTGTCTTCCTTGGACCTTCCCCAAAGGTTGTGGTGACTTCCCGCCTCTCGGAGAATGCCCATTCCACGTGATCTTCAGGCTGCCTGTTGTCCTTTGGAATCTGTAGCAATCTGGTGGGTGAATGATGATATTTTGCTACCCTAATCTTCTTGAATGCTTACTGTTTTCAACTAATTTCCTTCCCAGTGACTTGCCTAGCCATATGTGGGCTTGGTTTGTCTTTTTCCTGTGAATTTATAATAGCTCTCTAAGTACACAGAGAGAGCAACCCTTCATGTGGCCAGTGGTTCTCCTCACACATGAGAATTCTTATGCAAGTGAAATTTGTTTATCTTTTTCTTCGTAGTTTCTAAATCTGTGTCTTGCTTAAAAACACCTTGCTCTGGCCAGGTGCAGTGACACATGACTGTCATCCCAGCAACTTGGGA